AAAAAAAAAAAAAGAGCGCACGTTCTATCCACTGAGCCACCTGGGCAGCAGCTCAGCTCAAGGTGCCAAGTTCAGTCCCAGCCACGGGTGGGTGTAGCCCACCATCGAACAGGCAATCTTGTCGTTATGAGCACATGCTCTCACCAGCTGAGCCATCCTGCCAACAGCTCAGCTTGGGTGCAGCTCAGGCAAAGCTCACAGTCCCATATGGGAATCGAACCAGCGACCCTGTTGCTCAGCGCTCATGCTCTGAAGCAGACTCTTAACCAACTGAACCATTCAGCTGGCCCTCAGACTAATTTTTCTAACCTTAATAATTTGGCATTTTGATCCATACATCAGTTTTTTGTGAGTTTGGTTATCATGTGTCGATCACTCACGCTGTAGTTCATGGACCTGCAGAGCTCAGGACCTGGCTATGGATCATGTGAAGAGGATGAAAACATAAGCTACAGACTTAGAGAAATATTTGCAAACCACATGTCCAATAAAGGGCGAGCATGTAGACTAAATTAAGAACCCTCAAAACACAACAGTAAAAAAACCCAAAAACAATCCATTTAGAAAATGGGCAAAAGACCTATATATTCACTAAAGAAGATATTAGATGGCAAATAAACACATGAAAAATGTTCACCATCATTAGCTATTGAGGAAACACAAATTAAAGCTATAATGAAATACACTACTAAAATGGCTAAAATAAAAAATAGTGACAACAGCAAATGCAAGCAAGGAAGCAGAGCAGAGAAACTGGATCACATCACGTTCATGGGAATGTAAAATGGTACAGTCATCTGGAAAACAGTTGGTCAGTTTTTTAAAAAATCCAAGCATGCAACTATTCTATGACCCAGCAATTGCACCCCTGAGCATTTATTCCAGAAAAATGAAAAATGAGTTCACACAAAACCCTGTACATGAATGTTCATAGCAGCTTTCCATATAATAGCTCCAAACTGGGAACAACTCACATGGCCATCAATGGGTGGGTGAATGGTTAAACCAACTGTGGTCCATCTGTACCATGGAATACTATTCAGCAATAAAGAGGAACGAACTATTATATACATGATCTAGGTGAAGCTCCAAAGAATTATGCTGAGTAGAAAAAGCCAATTCCAAAAGGTTATATACCATTTATATAACATCTTGAGGTGGCAAAATAATAGAAATGGAGAATAGCTTAGTGGTTGCCAGAAGTTAAGGACCAAGGAAAAGGGAGAATGGGACGGGAAGGTAGTGGGGAAGGGGTGACATGAGGGCTCTTTGGGTGATGGAAGTGCTTTGTATCAGTTAATGTCCTGGTTATGGTCGTGAACTATAGTTTTGCAAAATGTTACCACTGGAGAAACTGGGGAAAGGGTGCCTGGGATGTCTCTGTTATTATTTCTTACAACTGCATATAAATTCACAGTTACCTTAAAACTAAAAACAATTTTTTTAAAGCCTATTATTCTGTATCTGTAACGTCTTAATCAGAGATTAATGAACATAATTAAACTACTTACGGTTCAAGGTTATTGTTGTGAATAGTAATCACTGAAAAAGGGCAATACTCACAGGAACAAGTAGTCTTGGTCTCTTATTTGGGTCTTTTTAGCCAGTCTCTTGTCTGGCTATTTGTGTGCCTGTTTCCCCTCCGCCTCTCCCCACCCCAGTTCTTTCTTTTGCTGTGGGTTAGAAAATCATCATTCATGCCTGTTTTATTTTTAGGCCAACACTATTTTGAATGAGGGCCTCTTCTACAGAATAAGTGCATGGGTTTCTAAATGATGATTAGTAATCTCAGAATATCTTTCTTCTTATTTTTGGAGTATTATATGGAGAAGTGAAATGGTTGAAAATAAAATCTTGAAATAAAATACCTGATTCGACAATAAGAGTTAACCCCCACATGTCACTAAACTTGTTTTATGTAGGTTCAAGGAAAATGGCTGAGAAAAATTCTTCCCTCTCGAGCAAAGCAGTCAGTATGGTAAAGACAGATATATTTATTTCGTATGATAGCACATTTCACAGGATATGTACAGAATGTTTGTATCCCACTGACTTTAATACTGTACGTCTATAAAGTATATAGTTATAAATACTGTCTGCCACATAAGCAATAAAACTCTTACATATAAACAGCAATCTACTATAGAGAACAAAGAATTCACAAAGAGATCCTTAGTGTCTAATTTCTGCTCTGCTTTTAACAGAACTGGTAAATATTTTAATAATATGCAGAGTAACGGCTAGTTATTTGCAGCATACCCTTAACTTTTCTAACCTTGTGCACTTTCAGCAACTTGCCAAATATAATTTTCCTGATAAAGGCTGAGCTGCTGCTGCATGACATGTATATTTTAGACAGTAGTTTATATTCAATGGGAAACAGAACTGCAATCTGTACTAGAGAAGTTTATAATGAATTATTTTGCTAATGGAGAGCAAATACCAAATACACTAATCACACAGCTGTTAAAGCCACAGTTTCAACAAGTTAATTCACATTTTGAAGCACACTGCTTATAGTAATACTGCTGTTTAAAATATACCAATGCTGAAATGATTAGAACCCCCCCCCCAAAAAAAAGCACAATATAAAACTCACAAGAGTTATTTCTAACAGCAAATCCTGGCTGTTAACAGAGAGGATTACTTCTATAAATATAGTATTTTGATAACATTTGAGCATTTAGAAAAGTACTTTTTTCCTAATAGATTTGCTTTATGTGGTTAAGTGCAATGCAGTTTGCTGTGCTTTTCCACTTTACATATTCTTAGCCATTAACTCTATTTTCTGATACTCTCCAATGCACACCTTTAAAGGTTAAATGTGGCTAACGGAATTGAGGTGGACATACACAACTCTTCATATAAAAGGAACGTTAATGTAAGTCTTAATGGGTAACGACAATTTTAAATGAAACTGACAACAAAACCACAACTGCTCAAGGAGTTTTCTGATTGGGATTACTTAATGATATCAAAATACTACATTCTGTAAAAATTCTGTGTACTTCATAAAATTAATAAAAGCAGGATCAGCTGTATATTGGCAGTGCAGGAGACAAAATCCACAGCTAATCTGAGGTGTAGCCTCTAAGAACATAAAGCAGCATCATAGATGTGTTCTGTGGCCTCTTAGGGGGACAGAGAACACACGCTTAGTGGGTCCCCGATTCAAAGCACTCTGACACCTGCTGCTTTTCCTGCTAATGAAGTTCCAGAGCAAAAGCAGCAAAGAGAAAGGTATGGGTGGGAAAGAGGCAACATATGCCTGTATGTATGGAGAGCAGAGTACACTCAGCTCTAGCTTTTCTCACTGGACTCGCTGGTATGTGCCTTCCCAACACAGAAGGCCACAGCACTTTTTTGAAAGGGCTGGAGGGTCCATCTACATGACAGTGGCCACAAAATATGCTGCTTCCAGCTGCAAGAAGCTTCTCCCAGAGAAAAGCATGTGGGGGCACGAGTGGAGAGTACCTAGAACGTGTGTTGTGTGTGTCTGAAGGGGTGGGGTGTGGAATGGCAGAAAATTCTGGTTCTGTAGTGAGGATTATTCTAGTTTTGGGAAGAAAATGAAATGTCCAAATTTCATTTACAGTCATCATTTTGATAATGAAATACTGAAAAAAAACTTATAACTTTTAGGTAAAAATTTGGTCTGAGTTATATCCTAGAATTTAAATGATGAGTTTTACAAATATGTGAGAGAGAGAGAGAAAGACAGAGTGTGTGTGTGTATACACACGCTTTTTTTTTTTAAAGCAATGCTTTCCCAAATCTGGTTTCAGTATCATTTTCACAGCTCTTTGGTAAATACTTATAACTTCCAATTGTTAAGAAGCACGAGAGGGCTGGCAGTAATGTCAGCTAGAAGTTGTTTGGGCTTTTTTAGATTCTTTAGAGAAGACGAACAAAGAATTTCTGAATAAGGACTATTTTCTAAAGTAGTTTTGAGCACTTTTTATGGCTACTACTCTCTTCGTTATCCAAACAGAAACACACCCAAACTCCAGTTAATAATGAAAAGGACTTTTCCTTATTTCCAATATACATATATTCCAACTTTGTACACATTAAATAGTGGTATTTCATGACGATATCAGTGCACTTAACAATGACTTATTGCACATAATGAGTAACTAATGCCCAATTCTTTTGGCTCTAGGCTGCCAAAACTGGAAAACAACTGCTTCCTATTGTCTAGCATTATCTTTCTGTGAAGTTTAGTGTGGGTGAGGCCTTAGATGCCGAAGCTGTGAAAGGATCTACTGGACGGGTGGTGCCAGGTGGGGGCAGACGGACAGGAGGTGGAGGTGGTCTTCTTGAGGGCAACGCACAGAAAGAAACATCTGTACCTTTATTCCAGTCCTCATCAAAGGTCACGTTGGAGCCAGAAGACGAACTTGGTTGATTACCCAGTAAGTCTGGACAAGCTGATTTGAACTTCCCTTTCACAGAGTCCTCTTCTTCCTCGAAGGTCACCCATCCTTTTGGGTTGCTAATTTTTACTGTAGACTGGCCCTGCAGATCAAAACTGTCCTTAACGCCATCAAGTGAAGATGAAGGCTTGCTATTAGTACGACCAAGAGGCTTCAGAGAAGGGAAAGGACTGTTAGTAACAGGCTCTTCTTTGGAGAACCAGGAAGTTGCCTCTGATTCTTGAGACTTGGCTCTAAATGGGTTTCCAGGAGCGGCAGTCCTGTCGGTGAAAGGATCTGTGCTGGTCAAGCTGGTAATGAATGGGTTTGGAGAACACCGCATGTTTTCCTGGGATTTACTCCGGGCTGGAACTGGAGGCAATGTCGGCATGCAACTTACAGAACTCAAAGTATTAATGTTACTTGGTGTTGCAGAAGACAACTGAATCAACCCCTTTGGGTCTGGGGTTAGAACAGGTGACGCCTTTGATACAGCAAGCAGATTAAATGATAGATCTTCAAATGGGTCACTCTTTGATGGTGATTCCAGTCTGACAGCGGAGACTCCATCTGTTTTTACCTGGAAAAAAAGTACTGAATAATCAAAAAAATAAAGACATATACTTACTTGTAATACTCTCTTAATGCTTGCTTTCTGACTCAACTTCTCTTCATTTTGGGGGCAAATATACAAATTTAGAAAGTAAAAAGGAGCTTGTGCAGTTATCTGTGGATTAAATAAAACAGCTAAAATCTTATTGTTTAAAAACTCCCTATAAATAAATCCATTTATTAAATAGAGCTCATTTCATTCATGCAAGTATTGGTATGGTAAAATAGAATTGTACAGAATTGGCAAATGAGTTTTATTTATGCCCAATTCTATCAGATGTTAGCACAAACTTAAGAAACATATTCAGAACTTATGCTAAATCTGTATAAATAAACTTCCATCACCCATCTATGATGATGATGTGGTTTCATTATTCTTTAGAGTATATTTTTACTTAATGTCACCATGGAAATACAATTTTATAGATGAAAATTAATTTTATTGATACATTTGTATTCATAAGCTGAAGACAATGCATCGTTTCCTTTTCTACTTGGAAAAATGAATGTTCAAAGCATTCTTTGCCTCCTAATATAAGTTCTCCTTCATAGAATGAACTGGGAATAATGTGACAATATTCCTTAACTGACCTTCCTCATCTTGTAAAAATGTTCCCAAACATATAGGCTTATTAATAACCAAACATAATGATTATTTAAAACCAGGGGGGAAATCCCATCTTCTGTTTGGTACAGTAATTCTAAAACCCAATGAAGCTGTGCTCTGAGTGGCGCACAGTCCTTCCTATGTGACAGAGCTGTCTGTGATCTGTTGTTATTGGCAGGAACCGTGTTCCGAATTGCTTTCCAGTCCTGAGAAACTGGCGCTCTGTGCAGAGTTCACAAAGAAGCCTTCTGGAGTGGAGCTCAGCCAACTTTTCTTAAAGGAAACACAACCATGACCCTGGCCTTGTGAGCAAATTAGCTCATCAGGCACTTCATTTTAACTTTTAAAAACTACATAGTTATTAAAACCAGGTGGATGACTTGGATATTTATGCCAAATTAAAAAATTTAGGTTGAAAAGAACAGGACAGAGAGAATTTGAGCTCAAGCCTTGAAATGTAACAAAAGGGAGCACTACCCAAAATGAATTTAGATAGTTGTTAAAGAAAAATAACTAAACGTTCACGAAATATGTTGAAAAAAAGAGCAGCAATCCCAATAAAATGTAAATGGATCTTATCAAACAGTAACTTGGTGTTTAAGAATATGGAAGGCCGTTCATTTGCAAAAGGAAATGGGGTGGATAACTTCGTAAGTGAGTAACTTTCAAGTATATGAGTTTTATTCAACTGTCCTATAACATACTTTATAATTGAATAAACAAGTATATTTTTCTTCAAACTTAATACAATAAATTTGTACAAAATTAAACAATAAACGTCACAGATTCTAAACTGTATTCTAAGTGTATTTAAGGTAAGCAGATGTATAAATGGACATCTACTTGAGGGACAAATTTATTATGGACATCATGAAATTAAAATTAACTCTATATTACCAATGATGTCTGGATTACTTATGATTAATATAACAAAACAGAAGAACTTGACTGGGTCTGGGACCCAATTCTCCCATGGCAGATAGAATAGTCCACAACATAGATGTTATAGGAGAGGAGAATTTTATGCTTTGCACAGCTTAGAACAGTAGGCCCTTGCCAAATAAATGCTATATTTTTAAGTATCTTTACTTTCATGCATTAAAATTTTTTTTCCAAAATAAGTTAAAAATAATTTGGTAGAAGCAGGATCATTTTGCCCAATCAGGCTTGAAATTAAAATGACAACCACACCACCATTTATTACATCAGAATTAAGTTATAACTTAAGAAGGATTTGTGATGACATGACTTAAAAACTGTGGTAGTTTTACAGAGAAAGGTGTTGGAAAGACCTTTAAATAATCCTGTTATAATATTAACTTTCATCTTTCTAAATCATTACTCCTTCCTTACCAAAAAGAATCTTGCAACTGAAATTATTTGAAAAAAATTTCCCAAAAGAAACCTAAAAAAGTAAATTGAATTTTGTATTTATAGAATTATGCCAAGAATCAATTTGGTTTTGCCAAAGACTTTCATATACGTAAAGCTTACCTTACTGAAGTTATACTTTTTAGTTTTGTTAATTTTTATAAAAATAAAGCAAAATATGGTATAGCATTAGCAAGAACAATTAAAATGGTTCCTAAAAATTCAAAATACTAAGAGAAAGAAAAAGCAGGTTTTATGGAATGATAATAGAATTCATTAATGTGAATAGGTGGTTTTAAAAATGGGTGAAACTTTAGATGTATGAAGTATAAGACTCATACATCTAATGAGCTAAGACAGATGAGTAGCACATAGAAGACTGAGAAATAATCCAATACCTGTTACCCTGATGGTTGCTCCTGCTTTGAGAAAGGGAACACAGACATCAAAGGAAAGAGTTAGGAGGACAATCTGAGACCAACCAGCAACCCTAACAATTCAATCTTCAAAATACTTTTAGTTCTCTATTACATACAGAATCTGAGAGCAGCGATATTTGCAGGGCATAGCATAAGTTCAAGCGACAATTCCAACTTCTTTCGTAATTTTGAATGAAAAATGTATCGCTGAATTAGGACTCAAACTTTAATTTTGTCCGAGGCTGATTTCTAACTGGTTCAAAGTTTTGTTATTCCAAAAATAATAATCCAAATAGGCTTTTGGAGCTCTAAAATATTTTAAGCAGCCTGTTATGGATGAAATGTTTGTACGCCCTTCCCCTCGCCCTCCTCCACCAATTCATATGCTGAAGCCCTAACCCCCAAGGTGATGGTACTTGGAGATGGGGCCTTCTGGAGGTAACCGGGGTGAGATGAGGTCATGAGGGTGGGGGCCCTCAAGACGGCATTAGTGGCCTTTGGAGAAGACACACCAGAGAGCTTGCTCCCTCCTTCTCCTCGTGAAGCAACGAGGAAAGGCAATGTGAGCACATAGCAAGAAGGCAGCCATCTGCAAGCCAGGAAAAGAGCCGTCACCAGAACCCAACCATACTGTCATCCTAATCTTGGACTTCCAGCTCCTCAACTGTGAGAAAACAAATTTCTACTGTTTAAGCCACTCAGTTTATGGTATTTTGTTATGACAGCCAAAAGGAGAAGGACACAGCCTTAAATAGCCTATGGGTTTATCATCATTAGAGAAAATGAACAAAATGGCATAACTTGGCAAAAAAGTGAAAATTAATATCTATTTTAACAAAAATGGTCAGGATCTAGGCTTGTTCTATATTATTCAAATTTTCTAAAGGAGGATACTATCATGTTCACCTCAGAATTTATTAGTTGCAAGGTACAACATGGTAAGAAACTGGATCCTATTTTTGTTGTTTAAAAATGAAATCATAATCTTGCTATATAATACAGTATTTTTAAGAAACTATTTTGAGCAAATCTTCTCCAATATCTAAAGCTTTCTTTATTTTCAAATACCAAAACTCATTTTTGACAATTTAGGGAGACACCATTCTAAAATATATTACATTATTAGAGATTCCTGCCAACTAAACATGAGACTCTTGAAGTTAATACGTACTTTCTTGATGATCTCAGGGTTGTGGGTTTGTTTTGGCACTAGACAGGAGAGTAGTAAAGGGTTTATACTAAGATGTACAGAAGTGGTATGAAATAGATCCAGTATGCTGAGATTTTCTACCTGGATTCTTCCCTCACTGACAGCTATCACGTCAATAGTATGGCAGTGATGCTGTTACTTTACTTCCTGTCGGATTTTCTGACTTCTGGTTCTTAGCTGATAATCAGATGACTAAGCTGTTGGAAGTCAGACACATAAGTGGGACATTTTTACATTCTGTAAAGGATATATAACGTTATATAATCTTTTGAATTGAAAGAATCTTTTCTATGTAGAATTAGAGAGTTGGAGAACATTTAAATAGGAATAGAAAGTAAAGATGGGTCATATATGCCTTTATATTTTAAATACCTTGTAGATTTTGTGGAGAATTAAAAAGACATGTAAAAATTACTACATGTTCAATTCTAAGACTACTTCATTTTATTACCAAAATATTAAATATGTCATATTTTTAAATCTCATCCTTTTCAACTTACAGTCACAGCAGAAGATTTAAAAATTTTAAATGTTTATTATTTTTTGAATAGGCATTCTTCTTATGGTTCAAAATTTGAAAGGTACAAAAAGGTAAAGCACTTCCCCTTCCTTCTGGATCCCCAGCACTGTACCCTCCCTGGAGGAAACTGCAACTGCTTGTGGTCCTTCACAAAGGCAGTCTCCACATGAACAAGACCCTCACCCCCCAAAAAGAAAAATGTGTCCGTGTATATAATGTTCAGAGGAATTTGATATCAATGACTGAGGCAAAAAAAGAATACTTAGAATTTAAAATAAACATCTGATAGTTTTGATGAACTGAATACAAGATTCGAGAACACAATCTACCAGGTCACACACAAAGCATGTGCTACCTGCCACTAAATCAAATCACTACACCGATGCCACTAAAAATCAGAAATCAAAACGATGAAAATGACAAAAGAAAATGACCTGTGGCAGTCACTGAATATTCATCCTATAGTATTTTTGTGTCATAAGATGACTTTCTACTGAAAGCTGCAATCTTGCTTGACATTTTGCTCTTTCTGAAGTTTTTCAGAGTACAGTAAGTCCTCACTTAACATTGTGGATAGGTTCTTCAGCTTTCAGTGAAACCGTGTATAACATAACCAATTTTACCATAGGCTAATTGATATAAATAAGAGTTAAATTCCTATGGCATCTCTTCAATGTTATAACAAAATGACGCTGAACAAAATGACGTTATTTTAGGACCATATCTACTTTCATATTGGTCTAAGAATATTTAAACCATTTTTAGGAATTAAGTTTCACTTTTACTATGAAATGGACGCTCACTTTCATGGCTAGTTCGAAAGCTTTTTGTCCTTCAATTACATTTGAAAAAATACAATAGTGTACCTCACAAGAAAATGAGAAAAAAATTCATGACTCATTAAAAGTAGATTGGCAGAAACAAAAGAACAATGGACATTTAGTGTTTGAAGGATTTCTACAACTATTATATAACCTTCAATTTTTTTAACTTAAAAAAGTAGAATACTGATTGGTATTAATTAAGAGAACATTGTTCTCAATTTATACAACCTTCTTCAGCTTTTAAAAACGTGACCAATAGTCTATTAAGTCCTAACTGCTAACAACATTATTGTTTTAAAAGTCACATTTACTTTAATATCTGTTTTTCACTAAGTAGAAGCATAAGAACTGTTATCTTCTGCCAACTAGCTGGATACTCAAGAGATCTGTAAAATAAATGCAAATTAATATTTATAAATGTGCTTAAGGAACACTGCCAATGTGTAATGTTTCGGTATTTTAGATCTTTCCAAAGTTTAAAAGCAGACTTTTAAAATTTTACACATTTCTTTGGCCTTGACGGCATTCAAGTTAATACTTTAGGATAAAATAAAATATAACAACAAAAATATACTTACTAAATATAAATTTTATTTTAATAATCTTACTGCAATGTATATAACAATAACTAAAACTAAGTAACACAGCACCCAAATAAAAATAAAACTTAACTTGCATGATTGTTCCTGTGTTAAAATACTTCGAATATACATAGCTGATGTCTTCCCAATGTGAGATCACTGGCATAACAAAAGTCCCTCATCTTCAAAATATCCCTCAGAGGTAAGCGTTCTTTTATCATCACTATTTTAAATTAAGAAGAATGTATAGCATTTTCCCAAGACTACAAAGGAGGAAAATAAAGCCAGGACCCACACTCAGGTCTGCCGAGCTGTGCTCATAACGGAAGTCCTTGTGCCCAAGATTCCCACCCACTAAGGCAATGGCACTATTGTCTGTGCGATGCTAATGAGGTTTTTTTTTATGGTTTTCACTTTGGTGACTAAGCCTACTGCTACACAACCAAGCCACTTAAACTGATCCAATAATGACTGAAACTGTTCGAGATATGAGGAACCCCAGTGCCAGCTCCACCACAGAAAAGAGTTGTGAATCGGGGAATAAAAGGATTATTCTGTTATTGGGAAATTAACCACGTGGCCAATGTTCAGGGGTTGATCTGACTGCCTCTCACCAGGCAGTGAGAGCCCAAACTAATTTATTAGCTGTGAGCAATAAGAAAAATAAATGATTGCAGTTCATCCTTGTTTATTACTACCCAAAATAAATTATGCATAAAAAAGTGACAAACACTTTAAAAGTTAACAAGATCAAACAGCCTGGGAGCCACTTGGAAGTTTCCTAAAGAGCCCTCATCCAGGCTCACTCTCTGAGAAACCCTGATCTGAGCAACAGGTTAAAAACAAACAAAACAAACCCTCCAACAGCCAAACCACATGTTTCTTATCTGACTAGTTTGAGATGCCAAATAACACTCATTTGTCGAAGTCATATCTCCAGATGCCATTACTATCAAAAAGCAAAAATAAAAAGAAAACAGAATTGGATACTTATTTCTTAGAAAAGCTCATAATTAAAATAAGTATGTTCAAAGACTTTGTGTACTAGGCGGACTTACCTGCGGCTGTGGTGATGGTTCTGAAGGCAAGCTGTGGGACGACCTGCTCCGAGGTGGTGCTTGTGGGGGGGTGTCCAAGTTTGGCGGGGGGGCAGCCGGAGGCATAGGCGCTGCCATAGGGACAAGAGGCTCCTGCATCTTTTGAACAGGTTGGGGCAGAGAAGGCTGCACAGGCAGGGCAGCCTGAGGCTTCAGGGGTTCAGGAAGAAAAGGTGAACCTAAAAAAAATCATTTTCGGGTGTTAGGTGTTTTCTAAAAAAACATATTTTAGACTTCCTTTAGTAAAAATGTCAGAAGGTTCTGGGTTTTTTCAACTGGTATTTCTAATACAGTGTGTACCTTTCAGTACTTCTGATGGTTTGCTTTGGCTTTCAGGAGTCAGTCTTCCGGCAGATGCCCAAGCATGGCTCTGAGGGGCGCTGATCACTCCAGCGCGGGGCGGAATGGTCTACAAATGAGACAAATGACATTGAGACATTTACTTCTCTTCAACAGATAAGGTTTTGTGAAAACAACTGCTTCTGCATCTTATTATATCTCCTCTCTGGGATTATTCCCATCTGTTATTTTAACTGCTTTCTATTCATAGCAATATAGTGGTAAGTTTTAAAATCTTCCTTTTCATTTTTCACTGTTTACTAGGTGCCAGGCACTATGTTAATTAAGCACTGTATAGGCATTTCCATTTCATCTTCAAAATATCCCTCAAAGGTAAGTGTTACTTTATCATCTCTATTTTAAATTCAGATGAAGAAATGCATGTCATTTCCCCAAGACCACAAAGGTGGAAAATAAAGCAGGACCCACACTCAGGTTTGCCGAGCTGACCTTGCTCTTCACTGCAGGCAAAGCTGCCCTAACGGGGAGACGGGGACGGGACCAAAGTTTACAAGGAGACAGAGAGATACATACACTGAGCAACTGAGAGTCTTACAAAGACCACACCGAGATTCCTTTTTTAAACACAGAAGTAAAAACTCTCGGATTACTAACTCAATCTGCTAAATTAAATATAATGGAAGACACACTAGTGAAAAATGTATTTTCTATTTTCATACATTTTCCGAAGGCTCTAACCCCTCAATTCTTTTTACTTTAAGCAAAAGTTATGAATACAATCTCATGAAATCCTGACTCTCTTTCCCTGTTCTTACAGTATCAATAGAGTTTCAAAAAGCACTTGTGGAAAGTGTGGTGGTACAATCAGTGAGTAGCAATTTTCCTTTTGAGAAAAGAAGAGTGGGTAATAGATATCTTTAGGAATATTACACAGACATTAGTGTAACATTACATACAGAAAAGGACCTTTAAGTTGGATGTTAAATACAGAGCTACAACAGAAAAGACAAAACATTTCTATCTTAGAAATTTTATGAAAATGCCTTATTAGAAATTAGAAGTAGTTTCTTAATTTCTTACAACCTTAATCTCTAGTTATACTAACAGTTCCCAGTTCCCAGTCTTCAGCTAGAAGCCTCCCAGCAGTCCCAGGCTGCACAAGACTAGCCCAAGTCACTGATAACTATTTTCTATTTTCTTCCTTTCTTTCTAAATTATATCTGAGAGAAAATTTTCATTTGGGTAAATAATAGAATAATTATGTATATAAAAGAACATATGATAAACATACAGAAAACCATGAATTCACAACAAAGGGAAAAGCCCAGCACCACAACCTGCTCTCCTACTTTTAATACCGTTAGGGTCAGTGTTAGTATTCCAACTCCATCATAAATTGTTTTTCCTGAAATCTAATTTTAAAATTCTTCTTGCTGAAGGATGGCTTTATGTCCTCATTACACACTCAGAAAATATGCTAAACCATGCGTTTGTTATCCGACTAGTTTGAGACGTGAAATAATACTCATTTGTTGAAGCCATATCTCAAGTTGCTATTACTATCAAAAAGCAAAAAGAAAAAGAAAATGAAATCGGATATTTATGAGGTGTGATCAAACAATATGGTGAATGTTTAAATATAAAATTTATTCCACTAAAAGACACATTGCCATTAATCCCCCTCAAAATTCTCCCCCCTCCCCCACTTTGAACACACTTATCCCATGGTTTATGCCACTTTCTGAAGCAGTTCTGGAAGTCGTCTTTCATGTCTTTAGTTGCGCTGTCATGGCTGCCTCAATGCCCTGAATCATTTTGACTTTGGGGAAGAGCCAGAAGTCGCACAGTGCCAGATCCGGTGAATAAGATGGATGAGGACACACTGTAATGTTTCTATTTGACAGAAACTGCAGTACCAGAAGTGATGTGTGACATGGAGTGTTGTCTTGATGGAGGATGATTTACCGCACACTTTAAAACACACCTTCTCTCAACCGTAGCTCACACCTGATTGACTGCACCAAACAAGCTGAAACTTCTCACACACTGTTACTAAGGTTTGATGTGCTGCTTCCCGTATTGAAGATCCCTGCCTTTCCATTTATGGCAATCAGCAGCAGAATTCACCATATTTTATGATCACAATGAAAAGGCTCCTTGTCACACATCGCTTCTGGTACAGCAATTTCTGTCAAATAAAAACATTACAGTGTGTCCTCATCCACCTTATTCAGCAGGTCTGGCACCTTGTGACTTCTGACTCATACCCAAAATCAAAATGACCATGAAAGGTAAATGTTTTGAATCGCTTCAGGACGTCGAGGCAGCCATGACAGCAAAACTAAAGACACTCACAAAAGAGGACTTTCAGAACTACTTCAGAAAGTGGCAAGAACGATGCGATAAGTGTGTTCGAAGCAAGGGGGATTAATGGCAATGTGCCTTTTACTGTAATAATTTTTTAGAATTTAAACATTCACTATAGTGTTTGATCACATCTTGTATGTTAGTTAACATAATGTTACAGTTGAAAGGTACCTTGGAGATTATCAAGTGCAAGTCCCTCATGTTAGATTTGAGGAAACTGAGACCTTGATGGGTCACATGATTTCTCCAAAGTAACATTTGACTAGTAGCAAATTGGGACCTAGAACTTAGACCTCTTGGCTCTCAGGCTGGGTGATGCCTACCGGTCTGGCTGTATTGTATCCAATAGGTCCTGGGGCTGTGAGTCCTGCTTGAGGTGAAGGCTGATTGCGTCCTGGAACAAAGATATCACACCATGTACATAAGTTTCTTTGTTTTTTAAAAAAAAGAAACAAGAAACCATGCACTTATATCCCAAGTGTCTATTCATGGTCCAGTTTTAAGGTTAATAGCTCAATTCAAGTGTTTTTACCTATATTATCTTTCCGTGTTGTTCCAGGGCTTTTGGGTGCTTTGAAGCAGGAAGAAAAAAAATTAGTCATAAGTAAGCAATAGAGCAATATTGCATAACATCAGTTGGCTGTTCTGTTTCATTACCAGCAGAAATGGGGGCATGAGATGGTAACAGAAGTACTTTGCTTTGGATAATAATGAAGGGTATTATCAGTCATGAATGATATATCCCAAAAGTGAGAAAAATTGTAATACTTAATAGTGACATTATTGGGAGACAGCTTAGCCCTCAGTCTGATTCCTCGTTCATAGGGTCACTTTTAAGGTGACTTTCCCAACAGAGCTCTCTCCTGTGAACCTTGAAAACATATGACCAGCTTGTGGGGCTGGTCACAAGATGTGGCATGACTGCCTCTCAGAGCCTGGCTGACAAATTGGTCCTGAGCATATAGACAGAGCTGCATTTTCCAAGGTACACAAGAGGCTCCTAATAATACTGTTTTAGGGCTTCGTGCTGCAGGTGTCATTATGGATAAAGTAATCTGACGATGAGATCTTGGCTTTCTATAACAAAATCCTATGATTAAGGTAAAAGACAGGTGCAGCTTATTGCTAAATATCTGCCTTGTGGAAGAAAGTGTTAGAATGTGGTTCACACTCGTTAGAAAGGTAGGGAAGGACGAGATGAAATAAACTGCTTTTGGGGCCAAAACGAGCAGGGGCAACTATGAAATGTAGCATCTAGATTTATTCTTTTTGGAAGGAAGTTCAAGTGTAATTGTTATGTGAAATACATCAGCCCTTTAATGACTATCATCTTAATGAATGGCTTCTAGTCTTAATGGTCTTTTAAGCACATTTAGTTCAGTATCACTACACATAAAAACATTTAAGTAAACTGAAATCATTCACAAATGATTCTTGGACCTCAATTAATAGGGTTTAATTATAATTATCAGTTTTCAAAACTTCAGAGTTAGTATAGTACATTTCTAAACATTTTACTTATTCTGAAAAGTATTTTGAAGGCATTCTTCTTAAAATAACATTGTACAGTAATTTCACATCCTAAGTATATATGAAACAACACACGGTGTAAAACAGCATAAGAACTGAAGGGAAATTAAATGGATATCCATTAGAATCTATATACAACATAGAACGAAAGGAGAAAAATACAAGGTTATAAGGTATACATAGGAGGGGGAAGGGAAGTTTACAGTTGGACTAAGGAAAGATTTAGTATGCTTTTAAACACTGGGAAGGCTGACATTTAGAAATAAAATGAGAGATCCATATCTTTGATGCAAAGTCTTGTTACCTTCCATCTCTCGCCTAGCTACCCCAGGACTGGGAGGGGCTCCAATACCTTTTTAGAAAAAGAACAGAAGCTGTATATTGTTCAGGGCCCACGGCACAGAATGACAGGCAGGCACACAAGACAATTTCTGTGTTAGACTGACTTTTGCAAAAGGGTTCTCTTTCTACTTTAAATTTCTTCAAATATATCAATACAAACCCAAGTGACTTTAGACGCCTAGACCAAACCTCAGTCCTCCCTTTCCTCAAAAAGAAAAGCAGAACGGGAATGACAGTTTCCTTTCTGCATCTGATATTACTAGCAGTAGAGAATTTAAAAACATGTTTAACGAAAGCTGTTATGGTGATCTCATTCCTTATAGAGTTAAATCACGAATAAGAGCTCCAATACTTACTTGACAGCCAAAAAGGAAAAAAAAATCATAGTCTGAATTTCATTTTAAATTTCTATGAGACTATATTAACCTCTTAGAACTTAGTTTTGCTGCACTATTTTAAAAAAATTCTAAAAGTACTATAATGACTTTCTCTCAGCTTACTGCTTAAAGGAGTTATTGATTTATAGGGCAAAAAATATGTATACATGCTACAAACACTGTCTATAAAAGAATTATGAAAAGAGGCAATTTTTAAAAATTAAATCGGATTTCTAAGTAAGCCACTGAGTCAGTAATATGATATACTCATAACTTTTCACAAATTCATTTAAAAATTTTGTTTTCTACAGGTTCTTTTCCTAATTAAAGGAGAAGATAAATAGAATTTATCAAGAAAATATAAATAAAAGAGTTTAAAACAGGAAAAATTAATGTTTTCTGTAAGTTAATGGAAAAATGATCATCTAGCAGTATTTTGCAGAAGCTATAATGCTGAAATAATTTAGCTATCCTTATTATACAAAGTCATTAAAATCTACACACAAGCAAAGTAAAATCTATAATACCATGTGAATTGGTCAGCAATGTCACTAAGCAACTGGAATAGAAAGAGACCAACTACACATGTATAATCAGCCTTTATAATATTAAAACTGGATTTATAAAAGCTCTTCTGTGGAACTGTGATAACCTATCTTATTCTTTCTTGAGAATTAGATTAAATAAACTTGTCAAATATATACCTCCAACTGAGCTTTGTTGAGTTTTCATATAAATCAAATAAACTACACTTTAAACAAAAAGTGATCTATTTATTGATAAAAATTTCCTTATTGAAAAAAGTAAAATTGTTCTTATATTTAAAAGAAGGAGGCATGAGTTTTATGACAAGTTATGATAAAGCCACGCAAAATGAAAGATGTATTTCAGATTATTATCATAACTTTAACTTGCACGCCTAGGAAATTTTGCTAATCACTAAATTTGCTAAGCTCCTAGACAAAGGAATGTACTAGAACATCACTAATCAAATACTCAGGAGATGTTCTATATTCACTGTACCTGAATCCCTTTTGAAATTAATATGATTTGGGGGGATTAAATCTTTGTAACCAAACTGACTTTATTAAGGAAAAGTATATCAGGCTTTGATGAGTAATTCATCTATGTCTACTTGGGAAGTTTTATTCACTAATAAAACCAAGATCTAGTCTTTTACTTAACAGGAATATAATGGAAGTTTGGAGTTATTTTTAACTAGGCATATTAATGTCATTCATTTTGACTTTTATCAAACAAACCTAAAAAAGTCTTCAGTTACAGGGATCAAACTCCAAAACATCAATGAACCAAGATGCATATATTATGACAAACGTAAATGGTTACCTCCAAATTCTTTTCTAGCAGGTGCAGGACTCCTAGACCCTTATAGTTCATAAGAAAATATGCAGCAGGAAGGAAATGACATTAAAGAATTGAAATGTCAAAGATTTATTACAGTATTCATGATGTCAAATATCATGTAGGAACTATATGTTAGAATCTTGGTATTATAAATAATCTATTATTTAATGCAAATACTTCTAATAATTTAAGTAACAACACTATACTTATTTTAAAAAATTTAAACAAATATATAAAACTTTATAGTAAATAAGTATATGTTTATTCTTCAGATCAAATTATACATTTAACAGAAGTTAGCACAACTACATCAAATTAGCAGAAATAAAACACACACTTCTGCACACTTGTAAGAAGGCATCTATGAACGGATCACAGAAATCTAGTGGGGTACACTCTTTTTACCTGTTCTGTTGTGCTTACCACGTTCTTTAGAGAAAACCTGAAGAAGTAGCAACAATGATAGAAAAACAATAACATCCAGAAGCTAGAGGTTTGAAAACATGCAAAACATTTTTAATAGAATGGAGGAGGATTTTCAATCTAGCAGAAATGGAAATAAGGTGGTCTGTTACCTGAAGGTGGAGGCGGTCTTTGTGGGGGAGCCGGACGTGTGGGAGGAGCGACTGGGCGGGGAGGAGGCGGCCGCTTGGGCTCTAGGATCTGGGTAGAGTCCTTAGGCTGCGGCTGTGTTGCTGGCAGAGTGTCAGTAGGAGAGCCTAGAAAAGTACCTTAGGTAAGATCAGGTTCCAAGTGGGTGTGAGCACAGAGGTATGGAACTTCCTATATATATATGATAAATTCTCTATCTTGCTAATTTCTAAGCTTGTACCATAGTGTAATGACACACATTTTTAGTATCAATAACAAAAGCAGTTCTGCCATTAAATTACCCTTTGGTACCATGGAAGCAATAATGCTGGCTCTGTGTGGACTTCTTACCTAGGTCCCAGGGGCTACAGGTGATTTACTGAGTGGCCCTGTCAAGACAGCACAAAGTATTTATTTGTAGTCTCTACCTTTTCTATACCTTAGCTTATCTTGAATTTACTTAATGAAGCCAGTCCTTGAAGAGTAGTATGGGTAAACTTGAGAAGTTTATGAAATGGAATAATTTCTGAAGACACTGGTCAGCATGGAACAGACTTAATCATGTAATATAACAGCTTCCAAAGACAAACCTTCCAAGTTTGGAGAAGTAATGACTACAATTTTAATTTTAAAAATTTGCTTTGTGTCTTCTTGCTTCATTCGATAATATGAGTAATGTAGAGATGTATAGCTAAGCTCAAATAGTTATGGGTTCTTATCATAATGGTAGAAAACGATCAGCTACGAGACAGGGACAAACCTGAATACAGAGAAAAGGATTAAGAAAAAGTCTCATCTAGTGGCCATGACAATGAGCTTCGTTTCCACTTAGGGCTTACCATCTACAAAGCGGCCTCTGCTGTACGCACAAAAGCCACAGTACACTTCAGCATATAGGAATGCAAGTTAAATGAAAATGGCTCACCAAAGGAGATCCAAAGACGTCAGAGACTTGACCATCTAAAATCAAACACACCGTCTAGAGAAAGTCATACAAAACCTTAAACACAATACCCACTTTGTAAAGGTGGGTGCCCAGGCGCTCTTGATGGTGCTCGGCTTGGTCTTATGGGAAGGGAAGGTACAGGACCCTCTGATATTGTAGGTGACTGGCAGGGGCTGGTCCGGGGTGAAGAGCTCGGGGAAGTGCCAAGGCCAGAACTTGAAGACGGCTGGAGATGTTGAGGAAGAATTTCCTCTACCTCAGCATTATAGTCATCAACGTCACCTAAGGAAATGCAAGGGTATCAAAGTTACCACCATTTTAACTTTCTCAGAGTTTTTCCACCAATCTAGGTCGTAAGGGGTTAAATACACAAACATGTTAATATTATGACACTGAAAACATGCACACGTGAAGCATGGAGGCATACATAAAGAATTTTATATGTATCAAACCAGCATTAGTACAAATGCTCTTATAGAAAATGTAATTAAAGATATTCTATTATCTCAGGGGACAGGATGCCAGTGGTGACATTGGAGCTGGGTTGACTCAGTGGCTTTCTGTATTCCACAGGGCAGCTAGCTCAGTGCTGGCTGACTCAGGAGTTTATGGCCTCCCTCCAACCCTTCCTGTTTGCTCTGTGGAACTGCCCCGTCCCCCTGCTCTCACCTCAGGTCTGGTCCTGTGGTGAATAGGCTCTCAGAGACAGCCACGCCCTTCCCTGGAAGCCTCCTCCCTACATCTTCTCCTGTGCTCCCCATCCCTTCTTTCCTGTCACCAAACACTGGCTCTCCCCTTACGTCTCCTCATCTCTCCTTACCTCAGGGTTGGCAAGTGGGGCTAGGGGCCCCCCTTGCAACCTAATTCCAATTGCAGAACATTATAATCTTCCAACCCTGAACAGAAAGGCCTATTTCTGAGGCTATGCCGTCAAGAATTTATGTAACACCCTCTGTACCCCCCTGCTGCCATAACCTCCAAGGTCCATCCTTCTGCTCACCTGAACCCATTCACCAAGGACTCATCAGAGAGCAGGGTGGGGACATCTTTCTGGGTGACATCAAAGTCCATGTGGACAATCCGTCAACAACTTAAAATACCTTGGTCTTACCCTTACGGACACTTCCCTCCACTCCAAACACACACCCCCTCGGAACTTCACAACCTCTGAAATAATCAACTCCCAACACTTCATTCCGACCACCTTTCCTCTCCCTCAGTTACTCTTCCTTCTTTTGACTTCACCAGGGTCCAGGCCTTCATTCCTGTGCTTGTGGCCCCTGCCCGATTTCGCTTCTCTGTACCTGTCTGCACGTTCCGTGTTTCTCCACATCAACATCCCTCTGCCGTACCATTCTCTGTCACACCTGCATCAATTACACTGTTTAGTCTCTGTAACTGCACTTGGGCTGCCGAGAGCTGCTGCAGGAGTAAAGCGCCAGCCGATGATGGCAGTCACATCAGGTTTGTGATGTTCAGCCTCATCTGGGCTCCCAAAGCTGCCTGGCAACTCCACAATTTTCTGGTTGGCTCTCCCCATTCTCGGGAGCTTCATTCTCAACTCTCCTGAAACTGTGGGTTGTCCCATTCTTGCAGATAACCTCAGCTCTTAAAATTCACAGAGAAAAGTCTTCAGGTGGGAACCACCCGCCCCTCTCCAACAACCTGGCCCCATGCTGGAGTCTGGTCACATGGCCGGCACTCATGCATTTGTGGACGGAACAAATGGGGCTCTGTCCACCCCCGTTTTTTCAGGGATCTTGCTCTGTCACTCACTGTGCCCTTCCCCCACATCATCAGCCCTATTCCCTCTACCAGCCCTTTCCATCAGCACTAAGCATTCTGAAACCCCTCCCATTTTAAAACACCCTTCCTGCACCCCCAATCCCCCTTGAGCAACTGCCTCCCCCTTAGCCAAACTTCTTTAGAGTTGTCTACAGACATTCTCTGCACTTCTTCACCTTCCATCCACACCTCAATTTACCACCATCTGGCTTCAGCGCTCCACTGAAATCACGCTCATGAATGTCACCAACAGCCTCCTTTCCCTGTTATTTAATCCAAAGGACAAGAGGCAGTTTCTCCTTATCTCTCTGTGACACAGAACACCATGGACTACTTCTTGTTACCATTTCTTTCCTTGATTTTTAAAAAATTAGTTTCAGGTGTACAAAACAATAGACATTTACACCCCTCACAAAGTGATAACCTCCCTCCTCCAATCTACTGCCCCTCTGACATCCTGTATAGCTGTTATAATTCCATTGACTCTATTCCCTATGCTCTGCTCTACATCCTGTGACATACATATAAAATTACAGTTGACATTCAGTATTATTCAGCTTCAGGTGTACAGCACAGTGGTCAGGCATCTACACCGTCCATGAAGTGGCCTCCCCTAATAAGACAAATGTCCACCGGATAACCTACAAAATCTTTACAACATTATTGATTATATTCCCTAAACTGTCTTTTGTATTCCCATGGCAATTTTGTTATTACCAATTTGTGCTTTCTAATCCCTCACCTTCTCCCTCATCCCCACCCCCCTCCCATCTAGCAACCCTCAGTGTTTTCTCTATATCTCTGAGACTGTTTCTGTTTAGTTTGCTCACTTTTTTCTATTCTTTAGATTCCACGTATAAGTGAGATCATATGGCATTTGTCTTTCTCCGTCTGACTTATTTTCTTTTCTTGATTTTTAAGCCACTCTATCCTCTTGCTCTTTGGCACTTCTAGCTGTTTCTTCTGGTTTTCCTTTTGTGGTCAGCCTTCTTCAGCCTTTCTTTAAAGTCTGTTTTTCTCTGTTCTCAGTCCCACGGCCAGTTCTCTCCCATCTCTATGTAATCCTGGCCAAGCTAAGAAACAGCCCTGGCTCTCACTGCCATTAGCACCAGCCTGTGAGCCAGAGCTCTCTGCTGAGCGCCAGGACCACACACCTACATCTGGACCCCACAGGCTCCAGACACCTCAAACCCAACATGTTCAAAACCAAATCCACCTTCCGTCCCACACCTGCCCCTGCACCTACCTTCTTTTTTCTCCATTTACTCCCTCACAAGCACACCTGCACAATCAGCTTAGATCCTTTCTTCCCCCTTAGGCCCCTCAAAATTCCTTCTTTCTCGTTCACCCCTTTGACCTCTAATCTAACTCTTAGTTTAGTCTTAGGATTCTCAATTTAAATTTAAATTCCTCTGGGATACCTTTTCCAACTTCCCAAATCTATGCCAGGTGACTCTCCCATGAACTACCGCAGCATAGTTCATTACTGCATTACGTCACTTGATTATAATATGATATATGGCTGCTTACTTGTGTGCAGCACCCACTAAGCTGAGTTCTGGCAGGGCAAGGATGCCAGCTGCTGAATTTCCAGCATCTAGCATGTACTGGCACATAAAAGGTACTACATGAATGTGTGGCCTAAGCAGATAAACAGAGAAATGTGAAAAAACAGAGAATCGTATGGTGTTCAAACCTTAAATGCATTATTAATCTACACGTACAGGCTATCACAATACAATGTGTTGTCATTTTATAAACAAAGGTATGCATTTTAATGGAAAATATGCTAGAATAATATGCATATAGCACTAGAAAGCAAATGCATTTCTTAATCACGTTTAAGGAAATTATTATATCCAGATAACCTGTCCAACATTCCAAACTCAAAAGAGCTATATTTATGAGTGGTTCAGTTTCAAATGCATGTATTCTTAGCTACTTTGAGAATCTTTTAAAATTACTTTGAAATATATCCCCTTTTGTAGTAATGATTTTGAATCCATTTCTGCTGTTAGAATACCCACTTTGAACTTCTACTTTCCTACCTTAACTGCAATCAGTGAGACCAACCACTCACCAAAAATACCAATTTGTGCTCTTGTCACATAAACACATAAACTAACATTTGTCAAGATATTAACCTTTGAATGGCAGAATGGCAAATCCATCTTAAGTCTAGAGACAAGCAAAATAAACACAATACAATGCAAAACAAAATCTAATACTGCTATGTGTGTTACAAGAAGAAAGAAAAGGATAAACTTGGAGACGAAGACTTTGCTGATGGGAAGGAAATTTATCTAGGAGTACAGAAGTCAAATGTGTTCAATAAACAAACCTTCCATATCGAAATCTGCTGCGACCTCTGCATCTTCACAGAGCAGGGTAGAGCTTGTTGACGATGGCAACGGAACGCTAATTTTCTCTAAACTCATTTCTTCTTCCAAAGTTTTGATCCATTCTGGACTTTTTAAAGTAATAGTTATAGTCCGACCCAATAACTAGTTGAGTAAAAGACATATAAAATAAAAATTCATTGGCATGAAAAGTAACTATCTTACAATAAAGAGACTATCTTATTAGTTATACTATGCAACAAACAGTATAGGCTTAATTTAGCTAGACTCAATTCAACATAACTGTTTCATATACACTGAATTTTTAACTCCTTTAAACATTCCCAATTCTCCCCTTTAAACACCTGTGTTGCTAAATCAAAGGTCTTTTCTAGGATACACACAGTTTCAAGTTTCCTTTGGGACAGCCAGTGTCTTTCCCTAACCAGATGTAAATTCACTGACAACTGTGCTACATAATTTTATATTTCCTTTGATTCTGAGCCACAGATTAAATAATTGCTCCTATATGAAACAACTACAGAAGAGACAGTACAAAACCTTTAAAATATTTTTCCTGTTCATTTGGACCTACCCAACTTGGCATAATGGTCTTAAAAGTTGCTATATTGTTAAAGTAGTTTCAGCATTTCAAATGTCAGAAGAATACTGAGATAATTTAAGACCATTTTAAATCTTCAACAAAAGTTAATCATTCTGAAAACAGAATGACTGCTATCACGTAAGGGCACTTTGTCTTTCCTATAAATTTGAGTGCTTTTAGACAAAAGTGTTATCTAAAATAACCAACACATTAAATCAAGTTACACTGTCCTATTAAATGTATTAAAAAAATACTTTCAAAAAACTTGCAGAGAGCCACAAGACTCTTTGGGCAAAACAGATTGGACACTAGAAAAAACGTTCTCATTTACAACTCACATTAAAACAAATTTTCTTTCTAAAATGTACGCTCTCTCCTACACACTTTTGACTTCCTTTGTTTCAAGAGTTTCTGCAGTATATGTAATATATGAGCTTTTCTAGTATTTCCAAATGAACTCGGTGGCTGTGACCAACATGCTGTGATGACAACTGGTACCTTTGTGACAACAGACATTCCTTTGCTCAAAGTGCTATTCACATTAGAATTTCTTGACCACCCCGATATATCTACTACCCACCTGACACCATACATAGTTACTACAATATTACTGACTATATTCTCTGTGGGAAATATTTTACCTATGCTTGAAAAAGGTATCTGAGTACCACTATTCAAGCCAATAAAACCAGTTCCTAAAATAATGAACATCTTCCTCCCCCTTTTTTGTAAATAGAGCATTTTCTTCATTTGATAAAAATATTTTCCACTATCTGAACCAGAATATCTATCCCAATTAAGAACTTAAAAGGTTTTATACAAATATATAATCAAAATCAAATTAGGTGGTAAATATGTTTTTTCTTAGCCTATGTCAATGGTTAATATCTCTAGGGAGAGACCAATATAATCCTGAATCAGTTAGAAACCTAGCCTAAATAATAAATATTAAAGCACACTTTAAGGTCTTTTATCCTCCTGAGCTGGAAATATACTTAGATGATCTTGCTGCATGTCTTAAATATACAATCTTCAGACACTTAATTACAGAATGGTTTAGAATCAACAAATGCTAACTTACCTCTTTACCATTTAGGCTTAGAACATTCAAGGCAGAACTTCCCTCCAAAAATGTAACCCACATTTTATCTTCTACAAATCTTCAAGAAAGAAAAACAAACAATAAAAAAACGTAATACCTTAAGACAGTTAGCCCAGTGACTAATCTAATAATTATTGATTAACAAGAGCCTTTAGGGACAGGGAAGTGAAAAACAAGAGGAGAGCAGTAGGGCTCGTGGTGACCTGGAGAGGGCACTCTTCCCCCAAAGAGTTCAAATTCACATGGCTTTCAAATACTATGCGCATAAAATAGTCTGCCAGGAGAAACGGGCTGTGGATCTCCACTTAGGACCCTGCAGATGCAATCCTTCATTTCACTAACAAGGGAAAAAAAGGCCAGAGGTTAAAGGGCTTGCTCAGAGTAACCTTATGAGGTGAATAAGTTACAGAGCTAGAATCCAAGTGTCCTGAACCCATAGTCAGTACCATGTATTTTTGCTGTCTCGGGGACTTCCCTTTGATTAAATTTCCCTTGAAGTAAATTTCCTTTGATCAACAAAGAAGACAGAGTTGTCAATAAAATCTATCTGTCTGTCTGTATATCTCAGATCTCCCCCAAGTAGCCTTAGGTTATGGTCCTTGTCTTTATTCACTGACAGCCATCTACTCTCTTGGGATTTCAGTGGCCTTTCCTATGATTCTAAGTTTATAATTTTGAAATAGGAAACCCCCAAAATAGAAATGACATTAGGACAAGTTCTGAAGAAGATGGTCACTGATATGTAATAATGTTATCACACAAAAAAATAAAACAAATTATAATGTTATCACTTATTTACAGAAGCAATTTTATGAGTTGAACTATTCCCAACCGTATAAATCAAGTTCAGAAATCCTTACAGATTTTTCAAAGATGAGAGACAAAAAAAACACGTACACGTATAGATTTCTCTCTCTCTCTCTCTCTCAATCTAGGATTCAAAAGTATGGATTATGGATATTAAGAGGAAAAGGCTAAAAACAAAGTGTGCTGAAATACTTTATCCAGTTTAAATCAAAGGCTTGGAAAGACATAGGGACATCATTCTTACCTAAATATTATAAGAGTATCTTTTTCAAATTGTTGGCAATGCAGAATATCCCTATCCAAACGTTCTTATCACTATTGTAAGGTTGTACTTATACTGCACCAGTCCCCTGACCCTGAAGAACATGATTTGTTCTTTGACAGTGGTACCAAAGCATTTGGGTTCGTATGGCAGGGCAGATTTCTTGGTCCTATTCTTAATTAGCAATGTGCCCCTTACACATTTCTAACTTTAACAAGAGATTGTGGTTCTAATATCCATGGATTTATGTAGGTCCTTTTAGAAGCTGTATTTTCTTCCTGTTTTCATTCACTAGGGTAAAAGCTTCTAGAGTTTTCCCCCAATTAATATAAGTATCTACATGCCTCTAAATTTGCCCCATCTACATTTCCAGGGAGCCTCTTATTTATTAGGTTGTCGGAAAAGTCATGACTCATTTTTGCAATGAAAAACAGAAGAAATACATAATGACTTTTCCGACAACCCAATATATAAGGGGGGTTACTTCAGTCACTCCTTTAATGGTTGTCTTATTCTAGACCAAAAGGTGATCATCAGTTTAGCCTTACTGACAGTAGTCCTTTCCTTGTTTACTTTCATCATCTGCTTTTTGTATTCTAACTTGGCTGTCTAAAGGTGTAACAACCAAGGGCCGGCCGAGTGGCTCAGTTGGTTAAGAGCTCGCTCAACATGTGAGCTCTGAGCAACAGGGTTGCTGGTTCGATTCATGGCCCGAGCTGAGCTGCCGCTGTGCTGCCAACAGATGGCAGGATGGCTCAGCTAAAAATAAATAAATAAATAAATAAATAAATAAATAAATAAATAAATAAAGGCGTAACAACCAGAATATTCCAGGTATGGAGGCATATCATGGTTTTATAGTCTTAGAGTAATGCCTTGTTTCATTGCCAGTGCTGTTTTTAATGGTGACAGAATTTGGAGAAAGCTTCTGGCTCCAATTTAATACTGTGTGCGTTAGAGGCTGGGTTATAATGACAGTCTTCCATCCCTTATGTACACTTTGGATTCCTCTAGCCCAGTGCAGTGTTTTACATTTTCTCATAAGGACACTTATCTGCTACTTTGTGCCCACTCACAGTCCACATGATGCTCCTAGCGTTTTGGCATTTCTGTACTTGGCAAAGTTTACCGTCATCTGTACACTTAGAGATTTCACTATGTACTTCCTAAGGCCTTAAGGTTTTCAGAAATATTTTGTTGTATTTTAAAGCTTTGGGATAGATCTCTGTCTAAAGATCTGAGGGGCTCGTTTACTCTCTGACAGGACTCTCGGTTTCTCGGGCCTGCTTCTCCCACTACAAGAAACCACGCCATCTTCATTCTGGCTTCTGCTGTGTTCAGCATGCAGGGAAGCCATCACACGCATGCTGGTCTTCTCAGAGAGATTCTAAACAGGAATCGAGTTTTCAGTTTCTCCTCTGCTCTTCCTCAGCACCTAGTCTAGAGATTTGCCCACCGAGTATCTATAAAACATGCCTAAAGAAGCAGATGAACTTAATAGTCCCTCTCCCCTATGGCAAGTAAACACATCCATGTTATTCAACGTCTCAAAATTGCTGTACACTTCGAAGAGGACATTTTGTAAACAATGGAAGAGGCGCCTGGTTCTGCAAAAGGCAGATGGTTAAGTCAACAATGGAAGCCAAGGCTGGCAGGGCGGACTCCTGAGCGGCATCCCAGTGATGTTAGGTGGACATTAAATGAGTTAAAACTACTTAAAACATCAAATTTCTTAAATTGAGGAGGGAAAGAATACATGACTCTACTTTACTTTTACCTCACCTTAAAAAAATAAAATAGCATCACATCTTCATTTTGTCATGGGGCTTATATGTTACATCATATAGGAATCTGGAGGGTCGCATCTAAACGTGCACGTATTTTTGTCATCAACTGTTCCTGTAAAGTTTCATTACTGAACTTTAATTTTCTAAGTAGAGAATTCAGTTTTAAAACCTAATAGCTCTTTGGATAATGTTTCTATAGTATGATTTTCCCATAGTTTAGCAACAAAAAATATTCATATACTATTCAAACACTAAATAAGGTAATTTCTAATACGGAAAATATTATTTATGAATCATGAGCTACTTTTGAACAATAAATATTTTACTCACCTTATGAGTATAACTTCACCAAAATTTGTAAACTGCTGCAGAAGCTCATCAATCAAAGTATCATCAAAGAAATTATTTTCTGGTACAGAACTTTTGATTGAGACCAGTACGGTACCATCTGGTGGACCCTGAACTGCAATGACTTCTTTATAAATGTTTTGCCTCTCTTCAGCTTCCACTTCAAATATATCTATATCAATGAGGGCGACGACAGGCCTTAGGCAGAGGGAAGACAGACGCGTTAGGAATGTTTAAGAAGAGGAGTATTTCAAAATAAATGTCAAGCCCCGTTAGAAACACTGAGACTGTTAACACCTGTGGTCGGAGGTCTTCAGCTCGGCCCTCCCGTAGTGTAGCAAAGTGCCCGGAGTCCACGTGTAGAGGATTTTGCTTCCATCTTGAAAACTAGCATTCAGGAGATCTATATCTTCAGCTGCAGTGAGAATAGAACAAAATGCAAGTGAAGCCACGTGATGACAGATGAAGGGGAGCAAGGAACTGTCTCCTTTGCTTTACCAGCTTCAGTTGTCTGAGGCCGGGATGCTGGATACACTTGCTAATAGGCAGAAAGTTAGACACCTTTAAGTTAGAGTTTTTTGGTGAAGTTATCATTTTAAGCTGTACGTAGTAAAAACTAAGATGATGCTTTACTTCTGAGGTCACTTAAAGGCCTGTGACCATTGTTTCCTAAATAATTCAACAGACAGCTCATAATATTTGCAAACCACTTGAGTTATTCACATTAAAAACCTCAACTAGCATTCAAATGAAAAGTTCATAAAAATGTTTCCTTGCTTCTCTTTATATGAAAAAGAAAGTAGACTGAAAAATTAAGTAAATTATTATAAGAAAGTCTGAGGATATTTTTTAAAATCTGTTTTATATTTAAATTTTATTTCTTCTATTCTAGATAACCCTTGTGGAAAAAATAGCCCTCCTCCCTTAATATTTATACCATTCCCTCGACCTCATTAAATCTGCACTAACTCATTGAAATGAAGAAGTCCATTTCCCAACCTGATCTATCAAAAGACCATTTCTTTCTTCTCCAGAGGACACGGTCTGTCCATGCAGGTGTGCGGCACTTTTCACTCGTGTCATAGTCTTCAGAAAACAAATCATATTTATATGTCGGAGCAAAGGTTACTTTTCCTTCTAAAAATCCTCTAAAAATCTACAATAAACATATACAAAGTAAGTTACTTGAAAAGCAAAAGAGTTCTGTTTACATTGAGGCAGCCATTCATTAAATGTCTACTATGTGCTGGAGACTCTCACAGGAAATTTGTGCGCATCTGATACACCAGCGGTTCTCAACCTTCCTAATGCCGCGACCCCTTAATACAGTTCCTCATGTTGTGGTGACCCCCAACCATAAAATTATTTTCGTTGCTACTCTATAACTGTAATTTTGCTAGTTATGAATCATAATGTAAATATCTTTTTGTTTTCCGATGGTCTTAGGCGACCCTGTGAAAGGGTCATTCGACCCCCAAAGGAGTTGCGCCCCACAGGTTGAGAACCGCTGTTAAACACTTCTAACCAAATGGAACAAAGCCTAGGAAAAAATAACCTAAACATGGCCTTTGTTCATGCCACTTGTTCGACCTTTGATTAAACCAAGTATAAAAACATAAATAAGGGAATTTCATCAGACCTTTGAACTGAACTGTCAGGGATTTTGGAAATCATATAGTCTGATGTCTCATTATCAAATGAGGACGTGGGGCCTAAAAAGGGTGAGTGGTGCCCAAAGTGTTAGAATGTAAGTCTGATGACTATGAAGGCTCCATATTGAGTGGCCATCATCACCTCTACTTTGAAAAAAATGGTCTTTAAATAAATTCTTTCAAAATTTTGTGGCCATAAGTTTTAAGGAATAAGTTTTAAAAAGGCAGATGATATGAGAAACGAGAGAAGAAAAAATAAAGCCTATTATCACAGGATTTTAAAGTAAAAAAATAGTAGCCCTAAAGAATAAGATTCTAAATTCACTATTACTGAAAAACAAACAAACAAACATATTCTTCTACTTGAAAGTGAATTTTATAGAGACATAATATATTTTTATCCTAGGAATTACCATGGGTTTTACATTCCCCTTTTTTTTTTTTTTTTTTAAGGAAAGGTAATTCAGTCTGTTAAACTATATATATGTATATATATACAGTTTCAAGAGATTATAAAAAAAGGCAACACTACGATTAAGGAAAGCATGTTTCATAAGCAAGATTGCCTTCTTCTCAATCCAAGTATCCTCTTAAGTATGTATATACCTGTCCAGCATTTTTCTGGTTGATAAGTTGATCTCCTGCTATAAGAGAATCCCAATTTTTCTGTTTTATGAGCTCTTTAACTTCTTCATTAGGGAGATCGATTCGATAGTTGAAATCACCACACCAAAATACATAGTCATGGGAAAACAGCATCCTTCCCTGGAAGCAAGAAGATGGGACTTGAAATTCAAAATAATCAATTTAAAGAATGTTTTACCACCATCTCTTTGTCTCAAATATGCCTGCCTCCCCCGGGCCATCCCCTACTCATTTAACCCAATGCTTATAACACATGAAATATCTACTTAGGTAAACACTTGATTTTCCTAGAAACTACCTTAAATTTTCAAAAACCGATACAGAATTTGGGGTAGATTAAAATACGTTTCAAAGCTCCATCTTCAAGAACAGGCAGCAGGGGCTTACCATAGGAAAACTCAGTTTCCGTACTATTTCTACAAAATCTTCATTTCTTTCTTTGACCTGTGACTGCCCCGCCGCAAAGTGGCTGCAGACGAAGCAAAGGCTTGTCGTGTGGAATAACATTCGAATTGCAACCGCTCCCTTATTTCCAGTGGCACCTCCCATTCCAGTCTTTACAGTATCAACTGCAACATCCCTTTAAAACAATGAACTCTGAATCAAAGACCTGAAATTTCAATAGTTGCCTGTGCATAAGAAATTACAAATGCATATTACATAATTAAATAACTACATATTATGTGGCAGTTTGAGGGCAAGGTTGTGAATTGTAGTATTTTCACAATTTCTATTAATGACTCTTTAATCAAAAACACGTTTAAAAACAAGAACCATGAACAAGTGTTTCTCTGGAGCCTTTTTCTTGTTATCTGACGGTAGGAAGCGGCCTTAGGAGAGAGTGCTGTTCACTGACCTGATGAAAGGAGCATGCTGGGGTCTGATAAAAACAAACAGGCACACGCCCACCAGCTGCTCAGAAGCCAGCAGCACATACTTGTTGTCTCTGGAGATGGTCTTCTGAAGTTCCACAGCCCAGAGCTTCTGATTCGTTGTGCTACCAGAACATATTAAAAAGGAAATCTTTAAAAAGATATTGACAACATGGGTATTTTATGACAACTATCAATTATACCTTTATATACCCAAATTTAATAAGGCTAACCAACAGTCATGAAATCTATACCAACAGTAAAATCTTTATGCAAGCTGGTTTCTTGTTTCCTTTAAAAAGGAAAACCCAAAATTTAGCCAAAAGAATGAATACCACATTTCAAAATCTAAGCTACTATTCCTCTACAAAGAAATGGAAGCACACTTATTTTTAGATGAGCACTCACTATGTAAGTAACCTCAAGCTTATATACATTACTTTTTCCTTAAGTATTCATTAGGCTAATAGAGAAGTACATGCTTCCAGATACATTTTTCCCCCTTTTTTCTTATTTTTCTGGATTATAATTACTATCTTTTTAAAAACTTAGTATAGAAAAAATTTAAATATACACATTAAAGAGACAATCATAAAATAAACCCCCATATACTTATTACCCAGCTTCAACAATTATCATCATTTACCAATCTTTATATTTCCATCCTTTTTTTGGGGGGGGGAGGGGTAAACCTGGAATATTTTAAACCAAATCTAAGACACATGCCATTTAACCTGTAAATACTTTAGTATGTATCTCTAATACAAGAGGACATTTTAAGTTTTACATAATCACAATGCCATTGTCACACTTAAATATTAACAATTCCTTAATGTCATCTAATACTCAGTTCATATTTAAATATTCCTCATTATTTAAAATGTCTTCTTACAGCTGATTTCTTTAAAACAGGGTCCAAACAAGGCCACACATTGCATTTGCTTGTTATGTTTCTTGAATCTCTCTTAATCCTTGTGTTTCAACCCTCTCCATCCCCTTTTCAATGCCATTTATTTTTAAGAAGCTGGACCATTTGTCTGTAAAACATTCAACAGTCTGGGTTTGGCTGATGTGTCCTCTTGGTATCTTAACTTATCCCTCTCTCTCTCACATTTATTTTAAACTGGTTAATCTAAAAGCTTAAGAAACACATTCAATTTTATTTGTTTTGGCAAAAATAAACTCATGGGTAGTACAGTCACCCTTGCATCACAGCAGGAAGTACATAATCTCTGTGATGTTAACCTGATAGGCTGTTCAGACTGGGACAATCTAAGCAACTCTTAACAATAAAAAGTACCTCCCCCTTGCCCCTTTTTCTAACACTTTTATATTCCGCCTTGTTTTAAAGTTACTTGTCTTCATTTCTTACTTTCCCTTTCAAAATGTAATGTTCCTGGATGTCTCTCCAGATATCTGATATAGTGCTTTGTACATATACTTTGCCTTAACTATTTGAGGATGTTTATTGTTTCTTAAAAAAAAAATCCCTTTCTGAAACATAACACTTTGGAAGGCACTTTAACTCTTTGAGACCACCAGCATCCTACTGAGTCAATTATTGCTCCAACTGAATTAATACTACTCCAGCAGTCTCTTAAAAACTAATGTACTCACTTATGGCAGGATCTATAGTGTGTAATAAAAGCACTGTAACAACATGAAATGATGACAGAATCATAGCTTCAATTTTAAAGTTTGTAACTGTTCTTCCAGAAACAAAAAAGCTAGGCAGGTTCTTCATGGTTATTTTGACAATCAACATCTTCTCCACAAAGAACATAAACTTGAAATTTTTCTGAGGATCTGACTCTACGTTATTGTGGTTTATTTCTGACATATTGATGCTGATATTTTTTCTGTGTGTGTATTATGGTTGTTTCTCTAAGGAAAAGTTCCCTCTTTTAATCCTTCTTCTAAGGTTTTAGCATCCACTGATCATTGTCTAGATCCATTATTTCATTAGGGGTTGCAAAATGTTGATTTTTGTAATTTCAGTATATCACAGGCATTTGTAACAAGTTGGAATTCATCTATAAAGAAGTTTTCTCTTTAACTATTCAATTACTCTGAAACATAGTTCATACAGAGAAAGCAGAATGAATGTTTAAGTCTTTATGTATAAATTTTCAGAGTAATGAGTTTGTGCCCAAGAACCTCCAATGGAGAGCAAAAACCAGTTTTCTCATTATTCCAGGTCACACAAATGACAAGTGACAAACCAGAGAATATGGCCTCACATACATCTATCTAGTCTATCTAACACTATGCCACACTACCTCCAAAATACGAATCCAGAACATGGATTCTCTATCTACCATAATCCCACCACTATGACTCAAATTCTGAAAAGAGAACGACAGCTTTCCCTTTCTTCAGCTGACTCAAGTCATCCTCTCAATGAACCCTAATTGTTCCATTGAAAGCTGCACGCACCTCCCTCCTCCACCTGCCTGATCCCCTTTACCTCCATCTATTTATTATCCATGGCACTCACCGTCTTCTAACATGCCATAGAATTTACTTACTATAGTTATTGCTTATTGTCTGTTTCTTCCCACTAGGATAGAAGGTCCATGAAGGTAGGGAATTTTCTCAGTTTTATTCATTGATGTATCTTTAGTACCTAAAGTAGGTTCTCAATAGATACTGATTAAATAAATGAATGAATAACCACCACTTCATTAAAGAATAATTTGATTAAGCTCTGTTTAGAAAACGAGTGAACAATTTGATAGTAGGGACCTAAGAGTATGCTCTAAGACCTGAATATACATTTTCAAACATCAAAATGAATGAAGCTGGATTTTTCTACTTCCCTGTATGAATTGCTATTCACTTTGGCAAAAAACAAAACAAAACAAAAAGCCATTTGCAAGATTGATACCATACTATTTTAGCCTATAATTTTATTCTGAAAATCTTTAAAAATGTCTTAAAAGATGGGCAACTGCTCAACTTTAAAGCAGACATACTTTGCTAAAATAAAGCACTTAAGCTTTAGATTTCATTCAAATAATTTGTATTTGTAATAAGGCTTCAGAACAGTAGTCCTCAAAGTGTGGTCTGGGAACATCCTTGGGGGTCCCCAAAACCATGAGGTCAAAACTATTTTCATAATACTACTAAGACACTGTGTGCCTCTTTCACTGTGTTGACACAGTTTGTGTTTGCCTCATGCTGCAAAAGCAACAGTGAGGAAAAGTGCCGATGCCTTAGCAGGAGTCCAGGCGCCAAACGGTAAGAGGAGTCATTATAGTCGTCAGTGTTATGTACTTGCAGATTAAAAAATGCCATTTCACCTAAGAATATTCTTGATGAAGCAGCACGCATTACGAATTTTATCAAAGCTCAATCCTTAAGTCACACCTTCTTAGTATTCCATAATGAATGGGAAAAACACGAGCACTTCTGCTGCATACTGAAGTATGATGGTTGTTTCACAGAGAAGCACTTGACAGTTTGAATTGAGAGCTTAACTACTTTTTTCATGGGATACAATTTTTACTTGAAAGAACTAATGAGAGACAGGCTATAGATATTCAGACTTAGGTTATTTGGCAAACATTTTTTCGACCAATTCTGTCTTTTCAAGGGAAACAACCAATGGTATTTATTTCCAATGATAAAATTTGAGTTTGTAAGCAAAAAATGAGAATTTTGAAAAACTTGTATCTGCTACTGTGATCTTGAGCTTCCAAATATTTAAAAGAATTTGCTGATGAGATCAGTGATAATAACCAATATATTAATATTTTTATACTGAATAATGAAATGTGTCAAAATTTGGAAGATCTATATAGCTCAGTGAATTAAAATTTTCCAAATGACCAATACTTGATGTTTCAGAATCATGCAAGAATAAAAGACCAATAAATTTCAATATAATAAAGCACAAAAAGTTCACTGCTACAGCTTTAGATTCCATATTTCAACAAACCTTTAAGAAACAACTATTTGTTGAGTTTTGGTGTAGTCTCAGAGAAATTATCTGAAAAGTCTATTAAAATATTTTCATTTCGTGCTCGCTTCGGCAGCACATATACTAAAATTGGAGTGATACAGAGATTAGCATGGCCCCTGTGCAAGGATGACATGCAAATTCGTGAAGTGTTCCATATTAAAAAAAGAAAAAAAATTTTTCATTTCCAACCACATATTTATGTGGTTTTCTTCGCATACTTCAACCAAAACAACATATTACAACAGACTAATGCAAAAGTGGATGTGAGAATCCAGCTGTCTTAAGCCACATATTAAAGAGATTTGCAAAACTACAAAACAATGCCATCCTTTTCAGTAATTTTTGTTTAGGAAAATAGTTACTTTTCAGGAAAAAAAAGTATTCTTTATGGTGCAGAAAAAAAAGTGTTCTTTATGTTAAATGAAGTAAATGTTTAAGAATTTTCATTTTTAATGCTTAATGTGATAAATACTGAGAGAGAACCTATATAGATAAAAGTTCTTTAAGATTTTCAATATTTTTAAGAGTGTAGAAGGATCCTAAAACCAAAGTTTGAGAACTGCTATTTTCCAGTTTAAACAGGACTTTTAGGGCTGGCCAAGTGGCTCAGTTGGTTAAGAGCTCACTCAAGAGTGTGAGCTCCGAGTAAAAGGGTCGCCGGTTCAATTCCTGGCCCAAGCTAAGCTGCTGCTGAGCTGCCAAGAGATGGCAGGATGGCTCAGCTAAAAAATAAAATAAAATAAATAAAATAAATAAAATAAAATAAAATAAAAATAAAAAATAAAAAAAAGTATCCAAATTCAGGGCCGGCCGAGTGGCTCAGTTGGTTAAGAGCTCGCTCAGGAGTGCGAGCTCTGAGCAACAACAGTTCGATTCCCAGCCCGAGCTGAGTTGCTAACAGGTGGCAGGATGGCTCAGCTAAAAAAAAAAGAAAAAATTACATAAACTGGACATTTACATATATTACCGCAATCTCTCCTTGTAACAACCACTTATTTATCTGCCCTCCATGTCCCAGAACTAGAAATTTTTTCAGGTGTTACCTCACTGGCTTACCTTGCGTTCACAATGTTTCCAGCATTCAACTCTACCATTTCTTCAAAGCCAATTGCAAATATATCAGTTGGCTTACTTCTTTTATCTACAATTAAGCATCCAAGGAAGACTTTTAAAATATGGCCTTAGCCAAATGGCACCCCTCCCTTGTCCCCTCCCCAGCCTCTGTCAACACAACTAAGGTCAAGACTGGATCTCATAAAAATCCATTTTTGTGTTTTAATTTTCACCAAATTCAAATTAAAGACAAAAACCCATGAGTGGGACATAATTTCTTTAAATTTACTTTCTATTCAGGAGTCCTAAGTTTGCTTATTTAAGACTGCTATTCTAGAAGCTCCTTAAGTCCTTTCAGAAATCATTTTGAAAGAATTCTTGCTTAAGTTTGTACCATGGACAACACAGAAACAAGCCACGTTTAAAAGGCTAAAGTGAATCAAAATTGGAGAGAGAAATGAAATCTTCAGAAAAGGTACAAACAATAAAGTGGTTGAGAAACCATTTCAAATTAGAGAACAGATGGGAGGGATCTTTCACATTCAAATTTGAAAACCACAGGCTTGATCTTTTTGCTATTTCATAGGTGGAAAAAATCCTGGAACACCAGAAGAGATTCAGTGGTTAAAACATGCCCCTCCATTCTAGCCATCAGTTCTCTCACAGCTGACTACGACTAACAGAGAGCAGGAGCTGCTTGAGATAAGCAGTCCAGGGGTACTTTGGGTGGCCTAAGTATTCAGAAATGAGGATAAATAGCGAGAAAGAGCCTATAAATACTATGAACTAATACTGAGAAATAAAAAACACAAATAAAAATGTTTATTGACTATTATAGGCAAGGCTTATTATACATCATGTCATTTAATTATCACACAAACATCTTATGAGACAAATTACTTTTGCCTTTTATTTACAGACAGGACACTGGGGCTCCAGAGAACTAAGCCATTTGCCCAAGTTCACACATAAAACGCAGTGTGGCACAAAGACTCTGGAACCCAACTGCCCGAGTTCAAGTACCAGCTCTGCCACTATAGGCTGCATGACTTTGGGCAGCTCACTTCCCTTACCATAGTAGATTCCTCATCTGTGGAATTAAAATAATAATAATAGTGTCCATGTAATAGGTCTGTTAAAAGGATTAAATGAACAGATGTGAAGTACTTACAACTGTAGTGTTAGCTGTTTCGTTTATTATTATTGTAATTACTACTACTGCTACTACAACTTCAAGATAGGTTCAATGTAAAATGTGAAAGGGCATTTTAATAAAAGTTTTGGGAAAACCTCAGGTTTAAGATGTGATGAATAAATGTGGGGCCGGCTGAGTGGCGCATTGGTTAGGAGTTGGCTTGGGACACCAGCTCCGAGCAGCAGGGCCCCGGTTCGGATCCCACATGAAGGTCAGTGACGCTGCCCTCTACAGCTAAGATGGTGAACAACAGCTCAACCTGGAGCTGGGCTGCCGTGAGTTGCTCACCGGCAATGGCATAGGCTGCAGCCCCTGCTGCAGTGGGCTGCCATAAGCTATCGTGTCTGGCTGGCAGCCAGCATGAGCGGCCAGCAGCTGGTGTGAGCTGCCAAGAACCACAGTGAGCGGCGTCCAATGGCCGGCGACCGATCTGCCTCACTCGGGAAGAGCGCAATGATAATACCAACATGGACCAGTGAAGCGACGTCCTCCACAACTAGACTGAAGAACAAAAGCACAGCAACTTGTCTGTTCTCCTCCCCAACTCCCTAATAAAATCTTTAAAAAAAAAAAGTGAAATGTGTATCTCACAGGATTTCCTACGCACACCACCTTCACATATAACACTTGGTAAATGTGTATCATTTTAAAAAGGAAATTAAAGTTGACTTTAAAAAAGGAAGCAGACTGGAATTCATGATTCTAATCAAATCTAAATAAAAGCATCCTCATTTTAATGTTTGGCTTTGGCTCTTAATAGCGTGGTGGCAGGGTACCCAAACTGAATGACAGCCAACTTAAGGACTGTTAAGTTATGAAGTACCAACAAAAGTTACAACAAATTTTGTAAGACTGTTATGATCCACCCTGAATATTTCTTATCTTATAACTGAGGACTAGATTTGAAAAACGGCACACACTAGGTTTGAAAAATGAAACTCAAATGACCAATTACAAAATAAGCTTTCTTAGTGTTAGGTTAAAAGAATAAAAACAGAACTAATTTTTCTTATATGTGTGGTTGCCTTTAAAGATACCTATTTATGTATGGATCCTTTCCCTGAGAATCAAATATTGAAGGAAAAGATATTTTATCATTGTTTTTTTTAATATAAAGTAGAAAACAAAGATGTAGAAACAAAAAGAATGTAAATTTTTAATAAATTTGATTATAAAATGTTGGTTTCAAATTTATAAATTGAAGCTTTTTTCATAAAGCAATATATATTGTGAAGTGCTCCACTGTTTTCTAGATTAATAAATCAGCCAGGATTTATTAGTGAAACCTATATTATCAAAAGCCAACCTTGAAACTCCTGGATGCCAGCTATCTTGGGTGCATCAAGAAGCCAGTCGGTGAGTGTCTGATTCTTAAAAGCTATACTGCGAAACTGCTTCCCACCGTTCACATTCCAGGTTCCAACACATACTCGGATTTTCTTGGGCTTTGAATACTTGTAGAAATTCTCACACATATTCTTTAGTACTTTAGAAGAGGCTAATCAAAACAAAACAACAGAATTTTAGCTGCAGTAAATCACTTATTAAAATTGATTTCATAACTGTGAGAGGTCTGGAAAGTGCAATTATCATAATCACAAACAAGCGTAAGATACATGCAGAGGCACAAAAAGAGATCAGCTTTGAACATAAAGCCCAGCACGATGCAATTAAGCAACACAATTTAAAAAAAAATCGACCACATTAAATACAATAACCAAAGTAAGAAAAGCTATTACGAAATTATTATAGCAACATAAAACATGCAGAACAGTTCTGCTTCAGTGAAATGCTATGTTATTTTATAATGTACAAAATTAGAGATGGAACATTTTAAGGAATACAGCAATTAACTTTCATTCAAAAGCTGGTAAAAATACAACTTTTCTATTCTCCCAAACAAAAACATGTAAGAACATTTCCATTTAAGATCCTAATTACTGACAAGTGGTGTGATGAATTATGGCTCCCTGACAAAAATACACATTATGGATGACGATGAGATGTCAGAGAATGAAGTCACTAATAAGTGCTTCCCATCTCACTCAGCATGGAAGCAAAGGCCTTAACTGGTCTACAAGGCCCTAAATGATTTGCCTTGCCTTTCTGCCCTCACCTGCTCCCCATTCCTGTTCACCCGCTGCTCAGCTACTGGCCTCCCTGCTGTTTCAGAAGGAGCCAGGCCTGTTCCCACCCAGGAGCCTCTGCACTGGCTGCTCGCAATGCTTGCAACACCCTTCCCTCACTTCCTCGGGGTCTTTATACTTTCCAGGGATGCTTTTCCTGACCACCTTATTAAAATTTGCACTCTGTCCCTAACCTTTCACATCCTCTCCTTGCTTTATTTTTCTCTATCACATTTATCACCATTTACAAACTATGTATTTTATTTATTTATCCTGTAACTATGTGTCACCCTCACAAGAATGAAAGCTCCACAAGGGCAGAAATGTTGGTCTACTTTGTTAACTGCAGTATGTTAGTGATCAGGAGTGCCTGGTACATAGTAAGTGACCAAGAAATAATTGTTAAATGAATGAACGTTCAATACAATTTGGATCCTCAACCTCTTTTTCTGCGTATTTTCTGACTACCACCAACCTTTCTTTCTTCTAAACCACACCTGATTTTGCTTAAGTTAAATTCACGGCGCTTAAAATGGATGGAACCTTCAGAGGACCTTCATCTAAAAACAGAATATGCACTTAACTGGCAGTTAACTGGAAAGAGGAAAAGAAAATCAAAATGATTCTCACCTTTCATCACATGACCTTATTTTATTATGGTATTATTTATTTTATGACACCAAGATACAGCAGTTTTGAGAGTGAATGAGAATGAAAAAGACAAGTAACATCTTGGTACCATCTGTGATTCCAAAGGTAGACAGGCAGATTTTTAGCCCTCTTACTATTTGATTTGAGTACTTGTATAGAGGTGTTGGGGGTAATGAAAGCAGATTATTTGTTCTGGCACGTTGGTGTGGTTAATTGAAAGCTGGCTGTACCTAGATAAAGAATCACTGGTGTTTATAACTGGAGTCATTGCCATTGTCTCTACTATGAAAACAGCTTCTGCAATCCTTTCTATATCAAAACACAAGTTCTATAATGATCAGCGATACAATAATGAATTGAGTGAACAAAAACATGTTGCCACGTTGTCTGAACTAACAAAGTCAGTTTATAAATGGAATAAAAATATTTTTTTAAATCCTAGCTTTTTCTTAACTGGTTGGCACCTCAACATGCAGAAAGAAATGAGTCTATGTTCAAACAGATGTCCATTTATCATTTTAGAACATGGATTTCATTATGTAACTCAAAGCTACATGAAGTGCTTGCTCTCTTCCTACATCCTCTCAAAACATTCAGAACAATATATAGCAAAACAAATCTTAAGTGATACCAAATCTAAAGTGAAAGGAAGAAAAGATGTCTTTTCCCACTAAATTTCTGGCAAGAGATTAGCTTTTGTTCCCTTCACCACAGATTCACATTTGGAGACCAGATCATAAACTCTGTCCAGAAAATGAAGGTACGAGATGCCTATGAATAGGAAAGACAAGAAAATAATGACCTTTAGGTCTTACACACTTAACTCTTCTAACTTTGTTAGCAATCCTGATTCTTTGTAAAAGATTTCAGATCATATTTTTAGTGCAGGTCTTATAGTTCCAGAGACTATTTCAACCACAATATGAGAACATGAGTCAATGCCTTTTCAAATATTATGTGTGAGCAACACTGCTGAATAGTCATAAATGTCATAGACAGTACTCTGAAATTAATCCAAAGTAGTCACATCTGGGTTTTTCCATCAGCGTATTAAGAGTACGGTGTACTGGGCTGGCCAAATGGCTCAGTTGGTTAAGAGTGCGAGCTCTGAGCAACAGGGTCGCCGGTTCAATTCCCACATGGGCCAGTGAGCTGTGCCCAAGCTGAGCTGCCACTGAGCTGCTAACAGGTGGCAGGATGGCTCAGCTGATGAGAGCACGTGCTCCTAACAACAAGGTTGCCAATTCGACTCCCGCATGGGATGGTGGGCTATGCCCACCCGCAACTAAGATTGAACACGGCACCTTGAGCTGAACAGCCGAGAGCTGCCGACGGGCGACCGGATGGCAACTGGACTTGGAGCTGAGCTAGCTGCGTCCTCTACAACTAAGACTGAAGGACAACAACTTGGCTATTCCCTTTCCCCAATTCCCCAATACTGTTCCCCTTCCTCAATAAAATCTTTGAAAAAAAAAAAAAAAGAGTAAGGTATACTATTAATGTTTGTTCATTGAATTATAAGAGTTAAGTTAAAAGTAGGTGAGCTATAATACTTAATTAGAATTAAGCATTTGCTACAGGATGACAAACAGTATTGCATATTTCCTTCTAAATAAAGTGACTTAGTTTTTTCAAACTTAATTTTTTTTTCCCTCAGATTGAAACAGGTATCAATTTATGCTGTTAGAATCTGAGGGGAAAATATGAGAAAGTTTCCATTTATATGGCTTTATTTATAATATCAATTTTAGAAAAATGAAGAAAAAGTTGCTTTTATTTATAGATTGATTTTCTATACTGTACCTGACTGTAATGTCTGTTCAGAAACTATGGATGCATCAAGAAGAAAACAAAGATTCATTAGTAAAACATCAAGTTACAGTTAAAATCTAGAGTGTTAAAACAAAACATTTTAAGATGGTCTCATTTCTTTCTTTTGAGTTAATTTGTTGGCTTTATTTTTTCTGATGGCTATAGGACACCAAAGATTAAAAATAAATGACAATAACTGATGCAAACCTTCTGCATTTAAGAAACATCCTACAGTGCCCCAGTGATGTCAGAGTTACACAATTAGGAGGTCCTAGGCCTGCTCTTCAGGCTGCTCCTGTAGGGGCATATGTGTATGTGCACGCATGTACACACATGTAAGGGAGAATATGAACCTGAAAACTTAAGAGGCTATAGGATACTGAACATATAGAAGATACTGCCCTAATATACATCTTTTAGGATTCTTTCTGGGACTCACCAGTTGATAACTACAACCAGTTCAGTTATAACAAAACAAATGAATTCCAAAAAACATCACCATGCTTTGCAAAATTGTGCAAATTCCCACAGCCACAGGGCTTATGGGAAAAATGGGGTTAGGGCAAAACAATCACAAACTTCAGGCAGAGACATACCAAAAAAGTAAGGAACCCAATAAAAACAACATCCCAGTTTTAAACATGTTAAATAGTTAAGAGGTATATGATATTCCTTAAATATGGCACTTCATTTTGAAAAGACATGAAGTTCGCTTGTCGAAATGGGCCTCAGGAGGGCTGCAGCTTGTGAGTAATTGTGAGTGAAGGAAAAAGGGTTTTCTGAAATTGGAAGGAAAGTGGCGACACCAGCTGTGGATGGGTATGGCTTATAACACACCTGGTGAACTAGGCAGAGAGATGTTTGAGGTGTGTGCATATGTGTATGTCTGTGTTTTCTATTTCTACTCATCTCAGTTCTGCTGGTGCAGTTTTCTGTGTTTCCCTAGTGTTACTGCTGGCGAAATCAGAAACTAACGCAGAAACTAATGCAGAACTGGCATTATGCTCAAAATGTTCCCAAATAGATCATCTGTGTGGAACGAATTCCCATTCTTAGAACAAGCGTTATAGCAGAACCGACTGTGCTTTTTTTAAGGCATATTTCACACATATAGTAAAACGTGCAGCAAACTAAATAACTGATGATCAAGTTTGGGAATTTTGGGGTCCCTCACTTCTTTTCTTTCCCTTTAGTTGCTTACTTGGCAATTGTTGCCCATTAATGCCTTCGTATCAAAGTAGGCACAGATGGAAAGAGGTGATATGATGCAAGTCAGTAAGTCTCTACTACTGGAAGCCAGGAAGAAAGCCTAACGTTAAAAGCAGTAGCTAAGATCAGATTTTGTTTTTTAGAGCTTCAGTAGGTCTCAGTCCCCCAGCCTACTTACAGATCCCTAAGGAGCTGACTGTAATTAACTACCTTCAGCACCATGCAGAGTTCTGAAAGAATCCACGATAACCTATTTGACCAAGTAATTATCCAAGAGTACATTACTTGATGAGGAATAATTTCTCCAACTTGAACAGGAAAAATTGAAAGGTTTGATTTGGAGATAACAGAAGAAATAAAAATGCTGAAAAGTTAAAATAGAAAAATATGGAGTAAGGAAGTCTAATTTATTAAGTTCCACAATGAATGTTAAGTTTTTCCATGATACTATTAATATATGTTCACTGATATAAGCTCAAATTCTTTTGATTTATTAAAAGACACGGTGAAAGATAAAAGCCATCCTGAAAGCCATATATTTATGCCAAATATTAAAATTAAGACTAGTGTTCAATAATAAGCAATATTTTAAATTATCAATATGATCTCATATTTATTCAATGGCAATGAAAAGGTAAGAACAAGTTATAGAAACTTTTGGGGTGGTGATTAGCAAAATAACCAATACAAGTATTGGTTTTTTTCAATAAGACATTTGTTTTCTACATAATTAGGCAATTTTCTACTAGCTGAATTTTCTGTGAAATTCTGCCTTATATAAAGTTAGCAATATTTAAACCATTCACCCTCTAAATCATAATCTATAAAAGAAAACATGCATGGGCCTCAGTTTATGGCTTAATAATACCACTGATGATATACTAAACATTTTGAAAGAGATAAACTTCCTTTGGAGAATGAAATTTTGAAAAATTACACTGATAGAATATCCTTCCAAAACTATTTTAACCAATTCAATCTATAAATATTTACGTAAATAAGTTTACATTTACCTCTTGGACTTTTAGAAAGAATAACAAAATAAAATATAAAGTAAGCATACCTCGCAAACTTCCAGTTGTTAAAAGTGCTCGAGCTTTGTCAGCTAAATCACTATTTAGAGTATTTCCCAGAAGCAAAACATCAATGGCCTCTTGCTTGGAGCTGTCAAAGAAGTTATTTTGAATCGTTCTAGTAACAGAACGAGCACCATCTTTTAACTTTCCAGCCTGTTGGGGGAAAAAGGAGCATGGACTTTCATTCTAAATATTGTTATTTTTACTCAGTAGGTATTTTGAAACTTCAAGTTTTATATAATTCTACTGTAATATAAAGGACTTAATCATTCTATTCTGAATATCTAATTATCACATTAAAATGGCTCAAGATGTCACTGCTTATTTTCCTCTTTGGAATAACAGCTCTGCACAAAGAGATGGGAAAAACTCAGTGTCTCAACTGCATCCACTAATGCTATTAGAGCACTAAATTTTTTTAATTGTTTACTATAAAGAAAATAAACTGAAGTATACTTAAAACAAGGAAATTACTTCTTACATCGTAACTTTTAGACTTTGGGGATGGGATGGGTGAGGAGAAGCAGGGGGAATTAAAGGAGGATACACTACATTTATACTCTTAGAAAAACTTCAAAACACTTTAATAGTAGAAAAATAAAATTGAAATTGTTCCCAAATAAATTATATTAGTTAAAGCTATAACTGAACATAAAAATGAAGGTCTAGTTTAAAAAGAAAATTATAATTACAATTCATAAATAAGTATTACATGTAAACCACAGTCTGTACATTTTAGGTCACTTTAATGCCTATGTAAATATAAGTAATAAAAATAATAAACTTAGGCTAATTCCTAGTGAGAGAGTTTACTTTAACTTTTAATGAACATATATTTACTTAGGCATGTTAGTTACTGTGAAGGTTTATTTTGATCTTACAGATTTTGATGACAGTTTTTAAAAAAACTTTTGCCTTTTAGAAAAAAACTTTAGTTTGCAACATATAATTTTTATTTCTTAAAAAAATAACAGGAATTTGAGGCTTAAAATGTTATCCCCTTCCATATGATACCATACACAAATGACATGATTTGAAAACACTCACCATTCACATAATCAGGCAATTAATCAAAAGGAACCCAGAGAAAGGAGAAGAAAGAACAGTTGAGATGTCAGATTTTAGTTCAATACAGACTAATATATTAACATAAAATTTTATATCTGTCAGGTTAGAGATAAAAGAACACTGAAACTATAAGTCACTTCTGTACATATATTGTCTTAGTCACTGCAGAAACAAAAAGCCAAAAGAACATAAAAGAATATTTTAAGAAACAATTGTAGAGAATCAGGTTTTAATAGCAAGAATTATGTTCTTTATTTAAAAGGAATAAATGAAAGTTTAATAATTTCAGGTTTTTGAAAGTAGGAACCATTTAAGAAGAAAATAATTGTAGATGTCAATACATATTACTTCTATGAGTTGAACAAAAGAAACTTTTGCAGGTAAAGCCAATCAATACCTCTGGACACACACAGAAGACGAGGCAGATTTGGAAATTAAAAGAAGACTTAGAGATGACAAATAGCCTTTAAAGAATTTCAGAGGCTATACTGAAGAGGCTGAATGAGAACTGTAAGAGTAGTAAATGTTCTTGTTTCTATTCCTGAAGTAATTTGAGAAATTGTAGAAATTTAAAATGTTATTAATAAATTCAACTTAAAAAGTCAACACTGTATATAAAATAATGAAAAATATCTCAAGTATGCTTCCAAGGTCCCTCAATAAGGGCCAAATACTAGAATGGAACGTAGTTTGTAGATAATAACAGCAATTAAAAAGTAATGATGATCCACTGAATTATACTTAAGTTCGTATCTCACACTTCTTTTGCACATTTTGATAACCTCCTTTTTAAGGTAAGACAAGTAAACGAACAAAAACTTAAAAATCAAGCCCTAATAATGTTGGGTTCATAGGAGGTGTTGCAATAAATTGTTCACTGATGGATTCATCCATCCAGCATTTGACACACATCTGTTAAATAATAGTTACTGTGTTAAGTGCTGGAGACACAGAGCCAAATGAGATAGGACCCTTTATGGGGAAGACTATGGTTTAAAAAATCATATTTATAATAAAAATAAGCAGTATAAAAAGCAAAACAAATATGCAAAGGAAAATCATGAAAAAAATGTAAGCAGTACATATATAGGCCTAGTGGATTATCACCAGGTGACTAAATGTCATACACACATAGCCCCCAAAGCAGGGAAATGGCTACCTTCAATCATTAGTGCCACCCTAGAAAGAAGAGTTAAAGAGGAATAAAAACCATGATAAAAGAATTCTAAAACAGATACCTAAAAGAAACCCTATTAATAAAAAAAAGAGACCATTTAGAGGCTGTTTTAAAAGAGGAAAAAGCAGATCTTTTATGACAGACCTACATTTACCTTAGCCTTTCCTTCAAGAGCCCCAGTTCCTGCATAGATCTTACTGATTGAATCACCATTCACAGACCACATTGACCGAAACACTTCTTGAAAGCGAGTCACCAGTTGAGGCTTTTCAGCCAAGCCAAGAGCTTCCAGCTGTTTAGCTAGCATCTAAAACAGCAAAAGAGAAACTTTTGTAAGTATATTAATACCTTAATTGTGATGTGGCTTTTTTAAATTAAATTGATTGGGGTGACTGGTCAGTAAAATTACATAGGTTTCAAGTGCGCATTTCTATAACCCATCATCTATATATCACATTGTGTTGCTGAACACCCAGAGTCAGTTCTCCTTCCTTTTTTTTTGACCCCCTTTACCCTCTTCTACCATACTGCCCCCCTTATCCTCTAAGAACCATGAACTGGTGATGTGACTTTTTAAGAACTACCAGAAGCACACCAAAAATTTGTAGTTATAGAACTATGTGGGACTGGATTCTGAAAACATAAGCGTTTACTAGGCTGTGTTATTTCCCACCATTTCAATTTTTAAAGTAAATACCACATCAATGAAACTTACAAGCAACTTAATAGTCCCCTGGAGTAAGAAGAACATCTTGGTTAAATGATAAAATTAATCTTATTAAAATATAAATCATACTAGTTTACCTTGCTCACCTAAAAGAACTAATTATTCAACAGCATGCATTAGAGCAGAAAAAATTATTTACCTAGTTCATGTAAATATATATAGAAATAACTAAGTTTCTTTAATTTTTGGATTTGGTTCCACACCTGTGGGTAACTAAGGTCAGGAGATTATGAGTAAAAACAAGCTGCTCTTGGATTGTCATAAAAATAAAGACTAAGCCATATCACTGGGTGAAGTCATGCAGCTTTTTATGAATAAAGTCTACATTGGTAATGTGTATAAAGGAGAACTAGAGGGAACACAGCACATGAGGAACACAGGATCTTTGGGCATCACAACTCCTGTATCACAGATAACAACACAAGTGTTCAGAAAAGTTACTCATCTTTATTCGGAATGAATTTTAGCTTTGAAATCTGGCCGAGTCAAAGAAATGTACAATCCTGATCCAGCCTATTTCTCTTATCTGGTATCCAGTCATATTCCATGCCTTGGAGTTTTACTTAACTCCTTCCCATTTGTTTTACTTTATCTTATCTATAATATGGAGATTATCCATAATTCTAGAGGGATCAAAAACTAAAATAATATTTTTAAAAACCCTAAACTGGGTTTATATGAATACCTAGGGACTTACTCCAGAGCTGTTCTTTGCTAGCATGGAGAAGGAATAAAGCAGAATAAGCCCCCGGGTCCCTTTTATCATTTAGACTTCTCTCTTCAAGGACCTGGGCAAAACTGGTTTTTCACTACTAGTTTGGTTTTGTGTGCTTTACCAGTAAATATGGTAACCAGTTAACCAATTTCTATAAAAGGGGATATTCTCACACCTAACTACCAACAGTGGATAATCAGATAAGTCAGATTCTGAAAACTAACACCTGTTATATTTTTAATGAAGACTACCAAACATTTCAGTAAGCTTACTGTCAGAATCTAAGTAAATGTATTCAACCACTTAAAAACGGAACTAGAAACAAACCTAAACCATGTGAAAAACTCTAAATGCCTGTTTTCACTTTTCTCTGTCATATTTTCTAAATAAATTATGATGATGAACTTCAATGACAGATTTCAAAAGAGGCAAAACAGTAAAGTTTATTTATTTACTTCAAAAATATATTTCTGTAGCAGAGAATTCTACACACTACTTTCATTTTTGAGATAGAAAGAACCTCAGCTGCAGAGTAACTAATTAACCAATATTCTGGCCAAATTTAAGATTATTAACTAGAAGAAATAAGAACATATTATTTAGTATTCCTGTTTTTTATAGCATTTGAGAACTGCGCTAAGTTCCTATGGAACTAAAAATGCAGACTCACTACAGCCTTATGACCCTAACTGTTGCCTAACAGGAAAGACTTAGAAAGCTCAGCATTATTACAGTTTGTCAAATAGTTGAGACTGTGTCTATGTTAGACTGAGTTTGATGGATAAGTGGTAAAGAAAAAAACTTTTAAACAAACACTTTGTGAGAGAAGTTGAATCTCATTCACTTTCATTCTCACCAACAATGGCATTTTCATCTGATCTTTTCCTTTATAGCTACTGATTTGAAAATGTCACATAAACTGCATTAGGTTACAGATGCTGTCAAAAATATATTCCTATAGGATTGCACATATGAAAACAGATCCTCCCTAATTCCGAAAAGACTTTTAAAAGACAACAACACAGAGAACAAAGGCCAAATACATACATACATACATACATATATATATATATGTATGTATATGAATATATGTGTGTATATATATATACACACACACACACACATATGTATATATGTAAATATATATATATATATTTTTTTTCCTTCTCCCGAAAGACAGGAAAAAGAGGCAATTATTGGAATAGTATAAATAGCAGGGTTTTTAGAGAAAGTTAAGGAACAATAGAGGGAAACAGATAGTGACACAAAGAGAGTATTTAGAACAGCTAACGGAAACATTTAAATGAAAAGTGATTTGGGCAAAAAAAAAAAAACTAGAAGAGAAGAATGCTTTTAATGAAACATAACTTTATTTTGTAAACAGTTAACCAATGAGAAACTAATGACAAAACCACTGGAAGACGCATTTGATACAAGTGACATACATACGTTTTCATTTATTCTTTACCTCTAAGCCAAGGAATGCCTGCACACTGTTGGTCCTATCAAGACAATCCAAGCAGTTTGTTCGAACTGTGCCACTCTGGCATCTGTTAACAAAGTCAATCAAGTTAAACAGCTAGCTTGAAACAAAAGCAACAAAACTAAAACTGAGAAAAATTAAGGTCATTAAAAGGTAGCATCCATGTTCTCCCCCCAACTTTTTATTATTACAGTTTTCAAACATATTAAAAAAGATGAAAGAATTTTACAGTGAACATCCATCTACCCATCGTCTAGATTCTATAACTGTTAACATTTTGCCATGTATTCTTCATTACATATCTATCTATTCATCCACACCTACTTATTTTTAATTAGGCCAGCAGTTAGGAGCTAAACATACATTCAGATTTGTAACACCATAGTTCTTTGTACATAAAAGATAATCAAATATTTATGGAATGAATTTTAAAAACCCAAGATCTGCTATCTCTACTGATCTGTTATCTCTATTGTACATTGAAAAAAAACCTAAAAATCTGAGCTTTGTTTACTCAAGTTTACCTCAACCTATATTCTGAACTTCAATCTTTTAAAACTCAACTTTTCTCCTCTACTTCATATGCAAAAACTAAAGATTTAAATTATATGAAAGCAGACAATAAGCAACGTCTTTTACTTCTTTATTTGCATTTAGTTGTCCTTACTGAGGTCAAGAAATATTAAAACCTTAGTTTTAAGAGAGAAGTGGAACAGTCTCATAGACAACAGCCTGAGGTCTGGAGCCTCATGAATCCTAGCTCTAACACTATCTAGTTATACGACTTGGGGCAGATTATAGCCTATGCCTCAATTTCCTCAAATGTGAATGGGATAATAATAGAACCCAGCCCTGTGACTGTTGTTATTGTCACATGTAAAGACTAAGTATACTCTGTGGCCCCCTAGTATGTGCCCAATAATGTAAGCTATTATTGTTACTTGATGGATTCTAAAGAGAGAGAGAAAAGCCTAAAATCAAATATAATAAAGGAAGGTATTTTACTTAATTATAAACTTTGATTTAAAAAAAGGAAATTTAAGAGTTCAATGTTAAGAATAATTTTAAAATTACAGCAAAGTTCCAATTTAAAGTAAAGAGAAACAGAGCAATCAAACCTTTGAACTTCATTTCCATCAAAATAAAAAAATCCATAATCTAGAAACTTCTGGACTTGAGGTTTAAGAACACTATGTAATTTTTCTGCCTTTCCTCCTTTAACCATTTGATGATAGTCAAAATTCACCATCTGGATATCAGTAGCATGTTCAGAAGCTTTCAAATGACTCTGAAAGTAAAAAGGTAAATATTCATCTAAATGTTAACTAAATATGATCCTAGCAATATATGTTATAAATGGAACTTTACATTTTAAATTAAAACCTCAGCATGGTTCCTCGAAATCTTACTAATCTCACAAAGCTTTCATCAACACTGGCAGTAAAATGAAAAATTACTTGCTGATATCTAATAGAACATTTTTCCTAAAACCTCACATACTATACCTGAGAGATTTGGTGACATAAGATCAGAGGACTTAAATAATATTCTTATTTGGTTTAGGAAATGAAAAATTATTTCCAACCACTAGCATTTCATTTTTTACAATATAAACTTAGTAACTGTTTATTATAAAACCTCAAAATAAAGTAGGTTATTTTTTAAAACAAAGCCTATCATAGATTTAAGTTTATTTTTATATGCTTGTTCAAGACATACAAATGTTTTAAAAGTTTACCATAAAAAGTCATTCTCTAAAGTATAATCTTTTATTAACAATATTTATTTCACAAAGTTAAAAAAATAGCCAAAAAAATTAAGCTAATTCTAGAGTTCATTAGATTGAATTTAAGAAAATGTTTTCTAACCATTTTGCTTAGAATTCTATGTAACACCATAATTTATATTAATTAATTATTCATCCAGTAAGTGCTTGCAAAGAATATTTTTTCTTTAGAAGTCAGATCTTTCTTTGGGTTTTTACTTGAAATTCTCAAATTTTCTCTCTTCAATACAAGAGGATATAGTCTTGCATGTATACAAATGTATTATTCACTATTTCACAGGTTTATACAAATGCATTATTCACTATTTCACAGGTTTAGACCGCTGACTACAGTTTCTAGGAAATAGACATGGCAATGAACAGGTGAGGGAGGACACTGTCTGGTATCTTGCTGCCAGTGACAGCTGAACATTTTTTTGGGGGGAGGGTATTCTTCTGCTTCTCTACAACATAAATAAGCCCATTTTACAAAACCGTCAATTGCTTTGACAGCTTTCCATAATCCCAATTTCAGCAACATTACTCTAAACTGTTTCCTAATAGCCCCAGACAGTTAATGGTTCCAACAAGCACCCAACCTTTTTCTTGGAAGGAATTTACTTCCTGGAAGAATTTGATTACTCTATTATATTATTTTTTAAATACCATTCTTACCTGGAAAGCCTTACTTAGCATATGTTCACCTTCCTTAGATCCAAGCAAATTTATTATTATTTGTTTACCATATAAATTCTTAAGTGTTCTAAAATGCCTATTAAAGAAAGGAAATAAGCATATGTCAAGTGAGAAGCTAATTTTTTTTTTCAATAAACAGGAATCCATTATTAAACAGAACCTATATGGTAGTATTTTAAACTCATGGAATGGGAAAATTTTGATACAAATTCATTCCATGTGGTCTCAAAACTCTGACTTTATAAAAACTCACTGAATGCAATCTCCTCTCTGACTTATCAATGCTGAGCCTGTCACCTATGCTGAAGCGACTGGAGCTGTGCAGCTTCCTGTCCACTTCGTGAGGGTGGTGTCAGACAAGCCCAGAGCACAGGCCGTCCACTTGGCTGGGAAGGCAGCTGGGGCAGAGGACACAGGGCTGCACCTCACACATGAGAACATCACATCCTCCAAGTATTTTGAAAGACCGCCTTAATAGCTCTGGCCTTAAGAAAAATAGTCCCCAAATGTCTAACTACTACATTGTACACCTGAAATTAATATAAAATAATACTGAATGTCAAAATAAATAAATAAATAGTTAAAAAAAAAAAAAAGAATCACAAAAAAAGTGAAAATAGGTCCCAAATAAGAGCCTTTTTTCTCTCCTGCTTCTAACCATTACAGAGGCTATAGAGAAATGCCATCCAAAGGAAATATAACATATGCCACATATATAGCTTTAAATTTTCTAGAAGGTACCATAAAAAAAGTAAGAATAAACAAATGAATTTACATGTTTTATTTAACTCAATATAGCTAAACTATCATTTCAACATGTAACCAATATGTAAAATTAATTTGTAATATTAATTTGCTTTTTTTTTTTGTATTAAGTCTTTGAAATCCAATGTGCATTTTGCACTTACAGCACATCTCAACTGGACTTGTCAATTTCAGGTGCTCAAAAGCTACATGTGGCTAGCAGCTACTGTACTGGACAGCCACCCGTAGAGGTAATTTTGAGGCCAAGAGATCCCGACCCACACACCTAGTGCTACCACTTCTAGAAGTCATAACATTTGGTGTCACTGTCTTCCAGTTAAATTAAAAATCAGAAGAAATTTTACTTAGAGCCAAAAAAGGTGAAATGAATCAGTAAATATAATTACAACTAGTTGCATTGCTTAACAGTATCAAAACTTATAGTAGCACTATGTAAAAATAATCAGTCTTACCTGTCAAAAGCAGGTGCATTGGCTTCAAATCCCCTTGACATACGGACACGATGAGATCCCACCTACAACAAGAAAAATACCAAAAGTCAACATGTAGATAAAAGATATATCATTGTTCACAATATGCAATAATTCATCTGCTGAATACAAAGTAGTAAGTCAGATAACTGTTATTCATGATATTCTTTAAAAAAAAAAAGTTCTAGGCGTTTCTCCTTTATTTAAAACGTAACCTCATAAAAAAAATTTTTTTAAAAGCTAGAGGTTAGACCATTATGAAACACTTCTAAACTAACTGAAATGTTTATTTATGAAAGATATTTTTAAGAATGCTTTCATATACATTACCTTATTTTAAACTCAAACTACGTACCCTGTGTAAGTCAACAGGTATTATTGTCATTTGGGAAATCAAAAAACAATACAGCTAAGAGAAATAACTTGTCCTTTTATAGGTCAACATCACTAATTCCAAAAAAGATTCCTAAATTTCTACTCTTCCAAGCTGCCTACAAGTGCAGTGTGTCATACTTTTTTCTCTTTATGCTAAGCATTCTCTTCTCCCTCATCCAAACATCCAACAAATTAAATACACCGTTTCTGGAAAAAAATATTTCCCAAAGTCAATCTCACAGTCACACAACTATAGAAACAGCACATTTTGCAGAATCAGAAAATTTGAGTTAAGAGAAGTAAACTAGCTGGAAAATATCTACCTATTGTGTTTTGTTATAGTTTTTCTTTTCTTATATAAGAGAGTGGCAGAGAGATGAGGCAGAATTGAGAAAGATACAACAGATGCCAAGAAGAAATGTAAAGGTGAGACCATATTATTTCCCTTCACCTTTAAACATTTCCCTAAGACTTTCAAAGTTCACCAGAATTCATTCTTGCTAACCTGTGAACACATTGAGGACTTGAAATAGGCGTGGAGGAGGGCTGCCAAGTCAGTGATGTGGTTCGACAAATGTAAGCTCTAATACGCTCATCCAATTCCAAAACTGAATTAACAGTACTATCATTCATTCAGCTTTCTCCTCTCTGTCCTGATAAGTGAGACACTTGAACGATTGTACTAATAAATTGGTAGATTCTCTTCCATGTTTTTTCTTTTGAATAAGAAATTGATTAGCCTAAAGTCACATCTATATTCAATTTCATTTTACAGTGCTTAATAGTCTGTATAAAATTTCAAACTTTGAAAGATGTGTGCCCCAGGACATTAAGCATTTTATACTGCAGGAAATTCAGCAGAAGTCAATACTTTTTCTATCTCAGATAACTACTTATAATGCTATAAAAGTCCAAGGTTTAGCATTGTGTTTACTTATCAATATTTATCTTGTACAGCATTCCCCACTATCAAGAAGGTGAAAAAATAGAAGTTTTCATGTTTTCCAAGTAATGCCTGTGGTTGCTACCTACCACGTATATACATAGCTAATCTGATAACTCTTAAAGCAATATATTGGTTAAACTACATTAGGTTTCATCACTCAATGTTAAAGAAAAACATTTTATAATAAGAGTTGTTATGTCAATTGTGATAAAAGTAGCACTCCATAAAGTTTCAAGGCTTTAAATAACCATAAATTTACCCAATTAAAAAAAAGTTACATCAAAGATGTTTTTAGAAAACCACTTAATTGGGTGATATGAAACATCATTTTCCAACAACATTATTGCTTCAAGTTCACACATTTCTGAAACTTCAATCTGACCAAAAAGTCAGTGTGCAGCACTGTACTGGGCATAGGGCTCGTGATGCTTACCATCTTTTAAGACTAATATAAACTATAATGTAATGTAATAATATAATGCCAGAGTAATAAATTATAAATGCTAAATGACTTTGGAGAAAGGAAATCATAAGTAAAATCAGTGAGTTGCCAGCACTTGAAACATCATTCTTACCTAGGCAGCACCTTATGACAACTCTTCTGATGCCTCAAACTAATCCATATTGCCATTTACCTTTTCCATGAAAGGCTTGACTGCCCAGGCTGCAAGCTCTCTCTGAAGCATGACTAATAGTCTCTGTTCTCACAGCACAGTATGCAAGACTATATATACACCTTGTACAGAACAACATACACGGGAAGAACTCAGGATTTAATGAAGAGGTCAGCGTCGAGAAGTGACTAGAATCCATTCAGTGAGATCTGAATTGGCTACTGAAGGACAACAAAGCTCAATTTGGGAGCAGAGGACTCCTGTTAGAAAACAGCAAGTTGGACAGCTAGGTAAGGAGAGGCCAGATCTGAAGACGCAGGTGCCCTGTAGGTCTGAGGAGCATAATATATGAAAAGTGGGAAGAACTGCCAGAGAGCTGGGAGGAGACCAGTTAGAATAACTGTGAGAACCGTCTAGGCAAGAAGAAATTATGAAGACCTTAACTGGGACGATAGAGTGGGAATAAAAAGAAAGAAAGTGCCTAGGGGCATGCTGGGGCTAAGCGCCACAGGACTGCCTCTGCTTGCTCAGGATCGGCTGCTGGAGCAGACAGGGCTGGGTACACGTCAAGGTCATTATAGGAGAAGCCTGTACAACAGAAGTTCTCAAATTTGACTGGAAGGGAACTTGGTTTAAAATGCAGATTCCTGGCCCTATTCCAAGAGATTCTATTTCAGCTGATGTGAAGTGGAGCCCAAGAATCTGTGTTTTAAAATCACGTCAGATGATTCCTATAAAATCTTTTAATTAAAAAAACCTCAGCGGAATTAATCATGGAGGATAAGAGGTAAGAAAGGATACAAGTACCTAAGGATTTTCTGTCACTGGCTTCTGAAGTGGAACATCTCACTAACTCCAAGGACCCCCCAAAACACCTTTCAGTCCCCAGAATACACAGGGCACCTAACAACCATTTATAACAATTCTGAGTCAAAAGTGCTTGTCTTCTATGAGAAAATTAATTTTTGGACTTAGTATTTTTATTTTTAAAAATCAATATCTATTTTTCAGTTTTAAGAAATCAATTACATAGTTTCATCCCTCTACTACATACTCTTTTAGAGTGGTGGGGAAAATGATAAAAGATACTCATAAAACTAATCCATTCCTGTTCAAAGAAAGGCTGACTTTCAAAACTACTAAGCTATAGCCGGCCGAGTGGCTCAGTTGGTTAAGAGCTAGCTCAAGGGTTTGAGCTCTGAGCAACAGCGGTTTGAGTCCGGCCTGAGCTAAGCTGCTGCTAAGCTGCCGCTGAGCTGCCAACAGGTGGCAGGATGGCTCAGCTAAAAACAAAAAAAAACCTACTGAGCTAATAAATCATTGAGAACCACTGACCCAATCCTCAACCCCATCCAAGACAACATGAAGCCAGCTCAGTGACCATTAAACAAAATTGTTGGCCGGTCTTGATGTCTCAAATATTACTTTCTCCATCAAGAAAGGCATGATTTAAAAATCTGTAGTTTTCAGCCCATAATCACATGACATTAGCCAGCCAGACTATCTGTTTGGCAGGCCACAGAACACAGAAGGAAGTAGGAAGAAAGTCCCACCCAAGGAGGATCCCTCAGTGTTACTCAGAATCCAACCTTACTGAATAATCAAGACACTGAAATTCCGAACTTCTTAATAAAATAACACTGAAAGTAGTATAACAGAGGGCCTGTAAGTAGGTTATTAGGATCTCTTAATACTAGCCTGTCTCGAAAGTAAAAGCATTTGCCTTGCATGGAAGCAGACTTTAGGAATTCTTAAAGCAAACATTCCAAACACCCCTCCCTGATCATCAAAGCTTAGAAGTGGCGTAGGGACAGGATCCTTTCCCAAGAGAGACTTGGCACAAGACACAGCTACTTAAGTTACCCCTATATGCCAAAGATAAAACCTACACAAGTCAGACTGGTCTTGACAAGAACGCAAGAATTTTAGCAAAGCAGTACCAGTGTTAATCTTTGTTCATTCTTGGCCTGTCTTGAATAAACTACGTTATTGAAAAGGTTCAAGTGGTCTGCAATTTTTCTCCACAATAACCATCCTATGGTTATTATAAGAGAAATCCATCTGTGAACTAAAAAAAGGTAAGATACTTTTCTGCTCATTTTCTCAGTACTCTAGTCCAGGGGTTGGCAAACTGCGGCTCGCAAGCCACATGCGGCTCTTCGGGTACATACATGTGGCTCTGAAGTAAAACTGTAAATGCAAATAAAACTATCATTGTTTCATTTATAAAATTTTTAAATGATATTATTCACATAATGGTGATTTCATTTGTTTTATGGCTCTCAAATAATTTTTAAATTGTTGTGAGGGACAGGATTGGCTTTTCCATCTCAAAAGTTTGCTGACCCCTGCTCTAGACTGAAAATTTAGTAAACAGTATATACTAGAAGCTTAAACTGAATATAACTTACTGTTTAGGGGCCAAAGATTTTTGAATAAAAAAAATGCAAAATCGCACTATTATGGGCAATCCAATATTGTGATCTTACGTGAAAAAAAAAGTCTTCTACTTTAAAGATTAGACATTTATATGAACAAAGGAAAGTTTTTAAAAAAAGATCAGAAAGCAAGTCAGAGAATATAACTGAGATGACAGATCACTACAAATTACAAAGCAAAATTTCAGTAGATGTATTATTAATAACAACAACAATAATTAACCCTTACATAGTGCTGACCATGGGTGTCAGGCATGATTCTAAGTACTTTTCATTTCATCCTTAGAAGTACCCTGAGAAGCAGTTACTGCTAGTATTATTATTCCCCTTTTACAAATAAGATAGCTGCGACACCGGAAAGTTCAATTGCCTGCCCAAGATCACACAGCTTGTGGGGGAGAGTAAGGAGCCAAACTGGGAAGTCTGGTTTCAGAAGCTCTGATTAACTACTACGTTTATCTGCCTACAGAGACTAAATTGTTACATACTAGGATACTGAGATAGTAAATATTGAAATACTTCAAAAATCAATGTTCTATGAAAACATCAAAATTTTAATATTAAACACAGCAGCTGAATTTGTATGGATATTTGAAAGAACATTAAAGGAAAAAACACATAAGACAATTCCAGGAACTCTGTACTTAGATCCTCATTTAAAAATCTAGCTAATATGATTAGACTGAATAATAGAACTATCCAATGAACTAATAAAGTATACTGAAAATTCAGAAAATCTGGAAATTTTCAAGAGAGGAAAAAAAAAAAAACCCTGAAAGTCAAACACCTACCTGCAACCCTGGCTGCTCCCAGAACAATGGAACAGAACCCCGAATTTGTATGAAGGAAGAAACAGAGTCGTCTAAGTATACCACCTACGGAGAGAAACAGTGTAAAGTACATTTCCACAGAAAGGTAATATTATAACGTAATGTTACCTTCACATTAGAAGACAAATTTACTAACATCTGTTGCATGCTAGTTATAGCTTATGACCCAGCTCTCATATACAAATTGTCTGAACAAAATATCCAATAAATAGTGCATTAAATAAGTTTGATTTTTTCCAGTGATAACTCTGTATATATTAGCCAGAAAAATAGTAAAAATAGAAGCATAACAATCACAACTTTTAAATCTCAATATTTTATATATATATATATATATATATATATATATATATACCTTTATATTTTCATTTAATTATTTTCAGTTTTATATGTATACATTTTTAATCTTTATTAAATTTACTGGGGTGACATTGGTTAGTAAAATTACATAGGTTTTGAGTGTACATTTCTATAATATATCATCTATACATTGCATTGTGTGTTCACCACCCAGAGTCAGTTTAAAACTAATTTGAAGATCTGAGTTGGGCCAGGGGCATGGCCTAAATTTACAACTATATAGTTTCATTGTCAAAAATATCGTAACTTTTACTTTTAGATGGTACATATACCTACATTTAAAAGTTGGGTTTGACTTAATTTCACAGGAAAACACTTAAGTTGTCTAGCTCTATAACTGAGGATTTTTAATTTAATACCAAAACATAGGCACTGACATGCCATGCTGATTACGGAGAATCTTACTACTTCTCTGAAGAGCCATACCTGAGTAAGTTTGTTCAGGGTAGCCTTTCTGAAGGCCAATAAGTAGCTGAGAACAACCAGGAGAATGACATTACAGATGTCAAAATGAGTTCTGAATCAAATAAAAGTCTGTTATTCTATTATTTTCTGTGCCTCTCATCTCATACGTGAATTAAGCAATAGAAAACACTACATACCTGCTCTGTTTCTACAAAATTAGCAACGTGGCCATCATCGTTTGTTCCCCGGACATTGAATCTGGTCCCAGCTCGCTCACAGCTTAGTCTGGAAATGAGGCAAGCCTTTGCCTGTTTATGAGCAGCATAAATTGTTCTGATTTCTACTCCCCCACACATGAGGCGTAATAACCAGTCATCACAGTTGACACCATAGTGCTTGAGATGCAAGTGCAAAGACTGATTCCTAACAGGAAAAGAGAGAATTGTATTAGCTTATTTATACCAGATAACAAAGTATAAATTTTAAAATGGTGCTCTTAGAACATGAATTGCATGCTATTAAATGAAAAATCACCAAAAATAAGTCAATTCATTTACTATGCTAGGCATCAGAAGATGCGGCTATAAAATGAGATCCTTGGGCATGTGATTTATGGTCCATAGAAAAGCAGCATATTATTGATGTTTTTAATAACTGTGCCCCATTTCTGTTGTCTTTTTATATAATGTATTTATAACCTAACTTTTACCAAAAGGGATTTCATACACATATCCCCACCCCACTTTAAAAAGCTCTACTTTTAAGACTTGACTTTTACAAGGCTCTATTTTAATTAATTTAATTTTAAATCACCAGGCAGGCTAGTGGCTAGTGTATTAAGGCATGCCTCAAGTTTTCCATTACTCCAAATACTTTTAGCATTCTAGGTTAATAGATGGGGCCTGGTTTTCCAACTTTTTCTGGGTAAAACATTTTATTCAAACATGCAGAAATCCAATGATTAGGAAACAAAAGCTGAGTCACTGTGGCTAAAGCAGGGATGGGGGCGGGAGTCCTGCCAGGCAGGCCATCTTCTCATCCTGCTGACTACCTCCTCGAGGGTCTCTGCCAGAGCCGCAGTCCTCCAAAGAACACAGGTGGAGACTCCTAACCAACCTAACACCAAGGAAAATATAATGCTGTGCAGAAAACTTGCTTCTGGTATTTTCAGATAAGGTGCCTTACAAAAGTGAATTTCCTATAATATTAAAGCTTGGTTCTCTGAGTTTTAAAACTCTCCTACTATATTATGTGGATATCTTTCTTAAGTGTTCTGTACTATCTTGCTGTCTTAAAGGTATAAAAAAAATGTAACAGCATTTTCTTGAGGCCTTGGGGTCATTAACATCAATAATATACAACAACACTGCTAGAGCAGTAGTCCCCAACTCCCTCCTCTTTAGGATTTAGGCTGCAGAAGAAACAAAACAGATGCTGCTCAACTGAAGTTCTGGTAAACCAGCTATAACCCCTTCTCTTCTGATTCATTCAAGAAAGCATACTGGAATGTAAAAATAAGTGGTGAAATTCCTACTAGAATAACATTAAATCCAATGACCATTAAGTATTTTTAAAATATGACGTAAGCTTCCATACTTTACTATTACCTACATTGATCTGTGGCAAAGCTCAAATAGATTGTGACCCAGTATATCCAGACACCAACCACAGCAGAGGTATAAGAGACTTGCCTGTCCCCATCTAAATAGAAGTAGGTGGGATCCTATGCATTTGTTCAGGTAGAGCTGCTCCCTCTGCTCTCAGTTTTCATTTTTCTTTGCTGTCAATGTGTTGCTGTTTTAATTCTATTTACATTTATAAACAACTCGACTGGCAGCAGCTCCAATAGAGTAAAACTACATGGGTTTTTTGTGATAGGTAGGTATTTGCTACTCTGGTTACAAAACTTACTTGGCTGTATCCTGGAAAATATTTCTACTAAGCTGCAAGGGTATGCGTAATGAATATGAATTCTTGAAGTTCATTTTTCTACACAAAGTGAGGCTCAAGAATGCCACCCCTTAGCAAAATGGTAAAAAAGTATAAAATGAGCAAAACTTACCTTTGGTGTGTCAACCTCCTCTTTGTTCAACCTTTCTCCTACTGGATAAGCCCCTTCAATGTGTTATCTAAATTTGCCCCACCTCTGGATAAATCTGGACAAACTACTAGATAAACCCCTTCAATCTGTATTTTAAAGTTACCCCTAAATGAATGAAAAGATAAATGAAATTATTCCTACTGATTAAACTTAGCAAATGTGCTTGGTTGCTGAACAATGCATCTGTACCTGCTTGAATTTCTAATTAAGGAGGGAAAACTTTTCTCTCAATCTAAGGACTGTGGGTACGAATGAGCAGGGGTGGGGTAAAGTAAGGACAGCTGCCCTAAGCCCAGCTGCAAGGCCTTACCTTTCCCCAGGACTTCAGTGTCTCTTCCATCAAAGTGTAGGGGTGATGTGAGCAGACAGGACCCTGCCCTCATGTCTGCCCTATCACCTCCCCCTCCCTGTCCCTCCCCCATGGTCTCCTCCTTTGCTAGGTAAGCTCCTAGTCTCTGACTCCAGCGCTCTGAAGCCTCTGTCCATTCTGCTCTTTCCTCTCCCATGCCACTACTCTGGGCCGAGAAACTTCTATGTGAGCTACAAGGTGACCAAGCCGTTGCTCTAAAGTCAGTTTTCTTCTATCCTAAGGTTGTTGTTGACTTTGGACCCTCTGACAACCAGGGCAAATGGGTCCGACCTGAATATGCTACTCAAGGACCTTCCAGGTAGATGGTGAAAGTGCAAGGAAGAAAAAACATACGGGGGGAACACCCTGAATCTGAACTACTGAGGGAGGTCGAGACAGAGTCTTGGACTTTGGCCTCAGAACATATGCAAACATAATGAAATATAGTTTGTACCTGGTATTAAGGGGGGAAAAGTCAACATCGATACTGGCTGTGGATAAGAGAACCACTATACTAAAAATTGGATCTGCTCCAATAAAGCAATACTAATTATGGTCACGTGTGTTCTGCTTACCATTTGTGTACACTTCCAATACAGCACATTATGCATAATCAGGGACTATACCACAGTTACCTACTTATGTCTTATTTTATTATAGTACTAAACTTTAACCCAGCATACTATTCCTTCACAGTCTGTTGCTCTTGAATCAAGATCATCTACTTACAACCTTAAAATTAAAAACAATATGGGAATGTTGGCTTAGAAAGGCAATACTGCCAGAGACTAAAACTAAGATCCCAAAACTAAGAACAGTAAATATGAGTAACCCAATTCTATTACAACTAATTCATTCCTAATTTTAAAATAAAGATTTTAAATATGTTTCTGAAATGAAAGGTCAGTGGAGATCAGGGAGAGCCAATGGGCTTCATGTCACGTGACCACTTCAATAAACTGACAGCGGAGGCCTGCTTTGCTCTGCTGAGGATGCTAGAACAGGAGACAGAGTGAGCGGTGAGCTCAGTCGGTAATGCCCATCCCTGCCATCTCGGGAAAGAGCTGTTGAACATACTCTGCCCCCGTTCACCAACCTATCACACAGTACAGAATTACAAAGGGGATCACCAGACTCACCAGAAGAATCTATTGTCAGTCGTGTGTTCCTGCACGCTGCGATGCGCATTAAGACTCAGATCTAAGCTGACCCCAGATGCGGACCATGCAAAATAAAAGTTTCCTGAATTCAAAACCTTTCGCACTTCTGAAATGCGATCCTCATCTGAAGAATCAACACGTAGAGATATAAACTCAGTAGAAGTAACTCGGAAAACTTCAGATTCTTGAATTTTCCCAACAGACATACATCCAGTGACTAGGACCAGGTAATGTAACATGATATCACCTGCAAAAAACAAAGATTTAATTGGATGAAAAGTTCCAAGACTTTTTAAGCTATTCAAAGTTTCTTCCAACTTTCTCCTCCTGTCTCCATCATTTTAAATCTGACATCCTGGTTATTTTAAATTTATCACTGATGTGTTTTACAACTACATTTTGGCAAAAGTTGGAAAAATCCTTGTTTAAATACACTTAGTATAATGAAGCATTTAAACTTTAACAGCATACTCTCACATTTATGAAATAGTTCCTCTACTTAATCTGAGGGTATACAAGGTTTATCCAAAAAAGAAAAAAAATGTGTTATCTTCCCTACCTTTCCTTTATGATTGTTAGGAAATTCAGATAAGACAATGAATGTGAGAGTTCTCTGTAAATTAAGTTGAAAAAATGGTATAAAATGTGAGTTGATGATGATGGTGATCTATAGGCAGAGTCCCTGGTAACAATTTATAAGGCAATTTAGTTTACAAAAACTTTCGTAGAGATTTTTCATCTAATTTTGACAAAAATCCTATGAAATTAGCATGAAGGTGGAATTCAGCAAGAATATACTCGAACATGGGCTGTGATGTGAGGTGGCCTTGAATCTTGGCTCCACTTATTATCTAGACCAACTTCAGGGTGTTAGCATAACCAGCCTGAGACAGCCTCCCTATAAAACAGGATTAAAACAAATCTCACTGGGCTATGTGGATTATCTAAGACAGTGGTTCTCAACCTTCCTAATGCCGCGACCCCTTAATACAGTTCCTCATGTTGTGGTGACCCCCAACCATAAATTTATTTTCGTTGCTACTCTATAACTGTAATTTTGCTACTGTTATGAATTGTAATTAAATATCTTTTTGTTTTCCGATGGTCTTAGGCGACCCCTGTGAAAGGGTCGTTCGACCCCCAAAGGGGTCGCGACCCACAGGTTGAGAACCGCTGATCTAAGACAATATTAGTTAAGCACCTGGGTGCATGTGATAAATTCATATGCAAATCTCCATTTTACAGACCAGTGCTCCTGAAAGTATGGTCCATGAACCCGTTTACACTGAGAAAAGATGGTTGTTCCAGAATAGAAATCAACTATATCACTCAATTCACCACTAGGTTTATCTGATTTTTTTTTTCCATAGTACTACTTGATCAGTGAAGGAAGCCATATGTTGATTTGCATGATGGTGCAAGCTCCTCATCTCAGCACAGACCAATAACAAAACAGTTCACGGAATGGTACCAATTCAGTCACACTGTTATAAGACAATCAAACTGGCAACCACAAAGGTTACTTTGCAGCCCATGATGATAATAAGTGGCAGAGACAGACTCAAGCTGAGACCTGAATACAAAACAGATGTCCTTCCCACTATACTCGTAAACCAGGGAAATCAGTGTGGTTCTCAGTAAGACATCTTTTCCTAAATGCACTGAAGCAAATAAAAAGGGCAATGCCCTGCCTTTCTCTTTGGACAACTGGCACCAATCTCTCCAAGTGTTCAAACGGACGCTGCCTCTGGAACGTAAAATCACAAGAGCTTGAGCGTGCAGCATGCCTTTTCAGTCAACAAATATTACCCCAAGGTTAGTTTAATCAGGGTTTAAAAGATGTTACCACACTTATAGCTCAAATGTGGAGTCTGAAATGATGTAGAAGCAATCTCTTTCAAATCCTTAGAATTACAAAAATAGAAATGAAAAAACAGATTAATTGTACTGAAAATAAACTTACCAAGATTTAATCGTAAGACACCTAGGAGTCCATACGCATCCAGTACTTTGGAGTATGTACCCTTGATTGCCTCTTTTTCTGCACATGCTACAAAAAAAGTTTTAGGGTAAGAAATATATGACATGGAACATCAGGTTCTATTTAGCTATAAAGGTGGAGTTTCCACCAAAAATTTCTAAATCTAAATCTGATATTCTTAACATAAATGTATTACATAAAAGATTTTCTCAAACTGGTAACTTAATTGTTCTTCCCAAAGAGTTAACTAATTGTTCCGGCACTATCTTTTAATCCATCCTCCCCCACTTATCTGAAGTACCACCTTTAACAATATTCATATGTTCTGGGGATGGTTTTTGAATTTTCTTCTCTCCCCCACTGATCTGTTTGCCTACTTTTACTATTATACCAGTACTGCCCACACTGCGTTATGATACCCCCTGTAGGACAACACCCAACTGCTTAACAAGGAATCCTGCAGAATCTGGCCTCCGCATACTCTGTTTCATTTTTCATTACCCGCCTCTTCCTTCCACTTCTTGCAGCCTATGCTCTAGTCACATTAAACTTTCACTATTGCCCAAACATGCTCTTTTACATTTGTGTACCTTTGCACAGCAATCTAGCCTTCTGCCTGCAAGGCTCTACCCAACATTTGCCTCTTGGCAAAATTCTATTCACCTTATAAAAACCTAGGCAGAAGGTGACTTTCTGGAAGCCTTTCTTTACTTCTCCGGGACAGTCCTTTCACAGAGCTCCCTCTTCATGTTGCCAAACATTCATCACCTGTCTTTCCCATAAGCCAGCCTGCTTCCTGAAGGCAGAAACTCTGTGTATTCATCCTTTTATCCCTGACACTGAGACTAGTGCTTGACACACACAGGACCGACAAAACGTTTAAAAAATGAAAGCTAATGACTACAAAGTTTATTAGCATCGGAACAGGAAGTCTTCAGTCTGGCCTTTGTCTTTACTTTTTCCGCTATAAAATTAGTGTTCTCTTGCTAATGAATATAGCCCGTCAACAGAATAATTTCCCTAGGGCAGGCTGTTGTGGTTGTTCTATTAAGAAAAAACAAAACAAATCCTAAAACTTTAAGGGAAAAAAAAATCTTCCTAGTTATTAGCAGACACACTCAATAAAAATTTGACCATGAACCAAAGAAATATAAACCATAGTTAGTATCTCAATGGACAATTACAAATGATACATTCTCAAGTCTGCAAATCCAGATATTCTCATTCTGTCTTTTCCTTTCTAATTTCTTTCCTTCTCTGCTGCCCTCCCTCTTCCACTCTCACCCCAAACCCCCAACTCACCTGTTAGCTGACTGACTTACTCCTTATTCCCTTTTCCCTTTACAGAAGTACAGTACCTGTGGGCTGTGTTCCACGTTGAAAAGCATGTAAGCAGATCCTTGTGGCCTTCCCACTTCCTGTCAGTCTTTATTGCCAACAAAAGGGCAATCTTCTCAGCCTACTGCTTTGTGCAATACTCCCTCGTACTTGGCATTAGAGATCTTTTCCTTTGCGTACTTGGCATTAGAGATCTTTTCCTTTGCCTCGGAGCTCTTCTGTGGAATTCTACAGGTCATCTCACTTTCCCTGCCTGCTTCTGCTCTTTTCAGACCATCTACTCTTAAGCCTTTGTCCTAGTCATCCCACTTCTGCCTTCAAATGAGTGTGCTCTGATAGTTGGCAGCACAGGCTAAGACTAAATGACAATCACTCAATTAGCTGATACTGTCACAGTTCTCTAGTGTGTTCCTTATTAAGTGTAGGCCTTTATCTTTGTCAAACCACCCAGTGTGAAACTAGGGAGGGGGAATATTTTACCAGGCCATTAGCTATGGAGATTTGTATCTCACTCTGCATTCCTAGAGTTGTTGTTGTTGTCATTATTATTATTATACCATATGTTTATAGAACACTTACTCCTAAGGTTCAATGATAAGCCACACAAATATAAAACATCACAACATAAATTTTAATTATATTTTATAAAGCAAAACAGGATTGCCTACCCCTAAAACATTAGGAGACTTGTAATAGCTCTGATGATAGAAAACATGACTTCCAGGGCAAAATCATTCTAGAGTTTTACAGGTTACATGCTATATGTATTTAAATACCATCGCTAATATAGTAATAGAGATATTACTACATGTATCAGTTTCAGCAGCAACCATCATTTGGGTTCATATACCAGCAGCTAGTAAGAGTAAAAAGAAAATATATTTTTAACATTAAATCATTGCCTTTCCTTAGAAAACAAAAAAAGAATGTCTTAAATTGGGGTGGCCTGTTAGCTCAGTTGGTTAGAGCGCAGTGCTTACAACACCAAGGTTGCCAGTTCAAACCCCTCATGGGCCACTGAGGTGTGCCCTCCACAACTAGAATGAAACAACTACTTGACTTGGAGCTGATGGGTCCTGGAAAAACACACTGTTCCCCAATAAAATAAAATAAAAAGTCTTAAATTACCACGCAACAAAATGTTCTTTCTTCAAATAATGCATAATATTACCTTTTCATTAACTGTGCTTCAAATAGGTGAGTATAGCCTGTCTCTCAGGCCCAATGACGACCCATCTATTAGACTTTCACCTGATTCAAACATGCAAATAAATGTCATTCTGCCTGGTTATCGACACTTTTGTATTCTATTCTGAGACTCAGGAAATAGGATGCACACAATTTAAACTAAAGTGCATATTCTTAAAGTATGCTAACGGAAAGGAACAATAGCTGAAAGAGTAGATGAGATGTCATTTTCCCTGCCAATGATTTTTGGTTTCCCCTCAAAATATTAAATCATTCAGAGTGATCAAGAATGTTTCAACTGAGGTACTCGTGTATTGTTTCTGTGATGATTATGAGAGTAACCAACACTGGGTTATATATTTTTCATGCATTATTCAATTTTCACAACCCCATGAGCAAAATTACTACCAATTCCATTTGACATGAGGAAGCAGGCTTAGAGAGGTTACTAATCTGTTACTAAGTTGTCTAACCTTCAACAGAGAAAACAGCTACATGAGGGAAGAAACTGACTTGGTTCACTGCTTCATCCCTAGGGACCTATTTCAGTGCCCGGCACTCAGTAGTTCACTAATTGTTTTGCAATGAATTGGTGAGTGAATTCACAGCCATGTGCACTCTTACCTCCAGACACGTCTAATTTCATAAGAGAAACCATGTTCTCCTACACATTTCTTATGTAAAAGACTGTAAATGTTTTCCTATTCTTCCACATATGCTTCAAAGGTTTGGGGCAGAACAGAGGGAGGTCCTTGGCAGGCTGTCAGAGCCCAGGCAGAATAAGAAGGGTGGCCCTGTGCATGGGTTTGAAGCCAGAGGCGGGGAAAGGGAGCATTCACTTGGGGGAGGAGCAGCCTGGCCTAAGCCACTGAGGTCTGAGTGGGGTGAGGAGGATGGTGCCCACCGGGGATGCTGGGGGCAGCCTGGCTTGTTATGTTGGCACTTGAGAAGGTTGCAGGAGGGCAGGGTGCACTGGAGGGAAGGCCAGGCAGAGTGCTGGAGCCCCAGTGGGCTGAGGAGCGGACCCATGTGGTGAAGGAGGCTGCAGTGGCAACAGGAGAGTGGCTGACCATGCAGGAGAACGATCAAGGAAAAGGGAGCCAGGCTTCTCCCTGTCAGACAGGGGCAGCAAATACAGAGAGAGAACTAGGATGGACACTGCGGTGTTAATGGGTACTGGAATCACCAGCTTAACTCACAGTTTTCTAGACAGGTAGACAAAAAGACATAGATATAAATGGGTGCGTATAATTATATATACATATGCATGCAGACTTACATATTCTCCTTAGCTCTATCCATTGACAGGACCTGGGGTCGGCAATACTCCAGAAACAATCAGTACACCTAGCACCCAGAGCTCGCATTCTAATGCCCTTCTCCACTAAAAGGAATGAGGACCCCTGGGAGAAAGGGCTGATTCCAGGCCAAGGGCAGGAACATTAAAAAATAATGGAGACGTCACAAAAATGCAGAAGCCAGCTTGAAGGGACTTCTATAGGAGAAATCGGGGACAATTTGAGCATCAAAATAAATTATAAGAGTCAGACAGAATATAACCCACTGAATAAGTCCATAAATTGAAAGTTTGATGAAGAATGGGACATTTACCTAGTCTCAAAGTACCTCACCTCAAAACACATATTAATTATAAAGGAAAACAGAGCGTACCAGAGGCCTCACAGATACCAACTTAACCAGGTAATCAAAATGAACACCAACAGGAATGAGGCAAGTCAAAACTGTGTGTCACCTGACAGGATACAATGAAAGAACCCACCACTACATCTGAAATATTCCTGCCAAGATACATAACCTGAATCTGAGCATAAGAAACCATCAGACAAACTAGTGAAGTTTATTAAATGGTAGGGTATGTGGAGAGCTCAGAGAAAAACTAAGTGAGAGCGAGCGGAAATGAAAGTTCAGGGGATATGGTGATACAGAAGTTCAGGTCACTCTCTTGCTAGGGTAGTCTTTCAAGGTATCTACTGTGCTTTCAATGAGGGGAACAGACTGCTTTTTGTAAAGCCTTTTTTCCCCCCCCCCTGTCCATGCTGGTGTTATTAAACAAACAAGATGGTAGGAAAAAGAAACCTTTCTTTTTACTTGTTACCAATTTCTAACCACAAGTAGGTATGACTGTCCAAGAAGACCTTTGTTTTAGGAGTAATTCTGAGCCAATCAAGATCTTCATCAGTTCAGCTAAGGTAAGGAGGTCTGTACCTTAATTCACCTGTTAAATCTAAACTAAGCAAAGCCCAACTTCTGGTTATTACCATAACATCTTAGGGATAAATAGTACCCACCTCCCTCAACAGCTTATTTTAAAGGGAGAAACTGTTCTTCCATGTCACAATCAATACTATCTTCCATTCATGCCCTGAATCTTTTCTTAGTGTTCAAGCTAATGTGAACATACATTCTGAGAACACAAAGCTAGCTTATATATCAAATCTACAACTACAGCTATATTTTTAAACATGTCTTCATATCATTGGAACTAATAATTTGAAAGCCCTCTGATTCTACTCCTAGTGAAT